GCACAAGCCCAGAGTGACAGCGGCACCTGTCACATCAAGAAAAAGTTTGCAAGGCGACACCTGTTACAAATGAATTTCTAGGCATGCAAGTGAGTGAGTTCAGTTTTAAAAGCTCGTGTTTTCTATTAAACTAAATGCCAGGATTGGGGGTATTTGTCATTTACGAAGCACCCCATATGTTCTATTAGAGCCATCCAAGAGCCAGAGTGTTAATCACAAAATCCATTCAGCTTTCCATGGACACGGGAAATTTAATCAATCCAACTCAGCAAGAATTTCCAGTGTGTATCCTGCATATTAAGAGATGATCTGAAGGAAGCAAATCTCATGGTTGACGTACATGCGGCCCAAGCCTGCAATCAAAATAAAGCCGATAATCTTGAACAAAATTGGGAACTTAAAATAGCACAGTGGTTGCTACCCACAGAATTGATTATGGGTTTATGGCTCAGAGAGCATTTGAAATGCATCTAATAGAGGGCTCACGAAGAACATTCTCAAATGGGATTTACGTAAAGCATGTCTAAAAATAATCACAGATTGCATACTTACTGCCGCTCAGTCACTGAGCTAAGACATGAATGGAGTTAAGCCAGCTCTCCTCACCACCTCCCACGAGAGGGAGCCCCTGCAGGCACACCGAGGGGGAAACGCAGGTGGTGGGCTCCGACTTTCCCAAGGTCAAGAGGAGAGCCGGTGGGAGCTGCTCCCGCCAGATCTCCCCACGCAGCCTCGTTTGCAGAGATGATGGCCTGTCATCCGCAGTAAACTCACCCACTCCACTCGCACCCCTCATTTACTGCTTAGAAACTATCACCGCCCACCTGTAAACACCCAGGTGTAATCCTCAATCCTGGTGCTGACTTTGAAACCAATGTTTTAGTTTATAACCAACTTCTGTGTTAAAATTTGGAAGATTATGTATGCCAACTTCTAACCAGCGCCCGACTTTGACTTTTGGGTAACTGGGAGACACTTCAGAGAGCTGCCCAGTGACGGACTCAAACTGGTCAATTCTGCCCTCCCAGTCGGGGCCTCTCCTTGCATCCTCTCGCTCAGTATTGCCACCTCCCGCAGGCAGGAGTCCTCCAGGTGCATTGAGACGCGTGGCTCACCAACACAGCATTTAGCCAGGTAGCCAGGATTTACTGTGCATTCAACCCCATGTTCCAAGCACTTTAAAACCCACAACCTCGCTTCAATGCCATTAAAAATCCTGTATTATAAGGAAGCAAAGAGATTTGGCCACAGCTGACAAGCCGGACAGAGGAACTCTAACCCACATTTGATCAAAGGATTAAATGATTTAACAATTTTCTACTTGAGCCTCCATTTTAGACTGCTTTGTGACAAATTAAATGACACTGTGAACAATGAAAATTTGTCTTAAAATATAAAAATTTCAAGAAAAGCCATCCGTCTTGATTTTCTGGATGGATGAGATAAAAGCTACTGAAATGTCGGCAACTGTTTTAATGAAGCCTTATCTTTGGTATCTTAGGCGGGTAAATTATTATCATATAACTTGCCTGGTTCTAATTCTCTGTAGCCACAAAAAAAATGTGTAATGCAAACTCCAACTCCACCAAATACTATCTCGTAATAAAATACTAATTTCAAAATTTTAAAGGCAAATTGTAAAGATAGCATTGATGCAATATTGTATTCCAGGTGCCCTCTAGTGGACATAGATGGCACTTGTTAGGTTTTACTATAGGTATATCAGTTAATAATGAGGATTTTTTTTTCAATAGATGGAGTTACCCATATGTTGATATATATGCGATTTGATATGTGTACTGTTTTGTTGTATTGACAGCAAGCTTCAAAACTTCATGTCAAATTTGCTGAAGGTGTTAACACCATAGATATATTTATGCTTAAAAATGTCAAATTTCGTGCCAAAAGAAAAAAGCATTTGCAAGAAGTTTTAATGTATTATTTTATTGTGAAGAAAAGTGCTGCTGAATATTTCGGGAAGCATATGGTGAACATGCTTCATCTCAAGATACTTGTGAACACTGCTTTCAACGTTTTAAAAGTGATGGTTTCTATGTGAAAGACAAAGAACATCCAGGTCAACCGAAAAAGTCTGAAGACCAACAATTGCAAGCATTATTGAATGAAGTTGCGTGTCAAACTCAAAAACAACTTGCAGAAAGATTCAATGTTACTCAACCAATAATTTCCGATCGTTTACAAGCAATGGGAACGATTTTAAAGGAAGGAAAATGGGTGCCACACCAACTGAATAGAAATGGAAAACCAAAGTCATCAGCAAAATGTTGCTTCAACTGCACGAAAGTCTTTTTTGCATTGAATTGTGACTGGTAATGAAAAGTGGATTTATTTTGAGAATCCCAAACGCACAAAATCCTGGGTTGATCCAGGTCAACCACCAACATCAACTGCAAGGCCAAATCGCTTCATAAAGAAAACAAAGCTCTCCGTTTGGTGGGATCAGGAAGGTGTGGTGTATTATGAGCTTCTAAAACCAGGTGTAACCATTAATACTGATCGCTGCCAACAATAAATAATCAATTTGAACCCAAAAAAAAGTAATTTTGCTTTGATCGTGAAAAGACCAGAATGTGCTAGTAGACATGGCAAAGTAATTTTATATATATATATATATATATATATATATATATATATATATATTTTTTTTTAATTGATTTTTTACGGAGAGGAAGAGTGATAGTTAGAAACGTCGATGAGAGAGAATCATCGACCAGCTGCCTCCTGCACACCCCCTACTGGGGATGTGCCCACAACCAAGGCACATGCCCTTGACTGGAATTGAACCCAGGACCTTTCAGTCCACAGGCTGACGCTCTATCCACTGAGCCAAACCGGTTTCGGAGGCAAAGTAATTTTGCTTCATGATAACACACCATCACACACTTCAAAACCAGTTAAGGACACATTAAAAGATCTTGCCTGGGAAGTATTAACCCACCCAACGTATTCACAGACCTTGCTCCTTCAATGACCACTTGTTCTGGTCGATGGCTCACGCACTAAACGAAACCCGCCTTCGGAAGGAACGAGGCATCCCCTCGCCCTATGCTGGCCACTCGTTTCCCCTCCTTGTCTCTTGCCCAGGCTCCCCAGATACAAAGACAATGCCACTCAGTGTCAAAGCAGTCAAACTTGACATGGCTGGGCGGTGGGCAGAGGACATGGCACCCAGTTTCCTGCGGTGGAGCCTTCCCGAACAGGTGTGACCTGAGGAAAAGGATGAAATGGGCCACATTTCTCTCCAGCTTCCTACCACTTCCCTTAGACCCTCCCGCCTCCCGCAGCCCCACCAGCCTCCTCTCCTCCCTGGAGGCACTGCTTCCACAAACTGCTGGCAAGCCTGGCCTTTGGAAGACAGGCTGGGGTGTGCCACTTCACGGAGTCTTCTGGAAATGGGGCCTAAGGGTGCGAAAGTTGAATGGGAGAATTCCAGTTGAGATTGAACGTTATTTGGGCTGCACAAGCCTCAACATACTCCATAGTCCAAGTAGCTGACTGATGAGGTCCGTTCTGTCAGGAGGCGTGTCCTTAACTGTGTGATGGTCCCTCCTCCTGCCGCTGCAGAGCCTCAAACGCCTGCCTATCACCAGAGCTCTGCTCCACCAGCTCTCTCCTCAGACTTTCAGTGTCAGCTTCTGTGTTTAGTGACCAACTCACCCTGAAGTCCTCTGTTCTCTTTATTTTCTACCCAGTTCTCTTATCTTTCCGGATCAGTCTTCCCCTCCTTCACTCACCACAAAAGCTCCCAGGAGAGGCCGATAGCCAGGTGGGAATCAGTACCAACCTTCCCGGACAGGTGTCAGGCTAGCAACAATCTGTCTAGTTATGCTGAGCGCGCGAGGTGTGGCTTCACCTGCTCTCCCAGCTGATCTGCACTTATTTGGATAACACATGGAACATTTTGATTTGAACAGGCACCACTGTCCTGCGGCCACCGGGAAGGCAACTCCCTGGGTTTGTCTGTCTGAACCTATCTTAGTTTCACTTCCATTCTGAAAAGAATTCTTGCTGAGTAGAGAATTCTGGACTAGCAGCTGGTTTCAATTCTCTGAGGACACCCTGCTATCTCTGGCTTCCATTCTTTTTGGTGGAAAGTCGGATATTTGTTGAATTACTACCATTCAAGTAAGTTTTGTAGTCTGTATTTAAGATTGCTTCCTCCTTTAATTTCCACCGTGTCACCATGATGCATCTGGACACACAGGTCTTTTATTCGTACTGTTTGGAACTTACCGAACTATTAATACTTGAATCTCTAACTTGATGTGCATCTTGGAAAATTCTCAAAGAATCTCTTCAAACACTGCTTTTGCCCTATCCTCTCTCCTTTCTAGGACTCCAAATAAGCAGGTAGGATCTCTCACTGAACTCATTTTTTTCACCCATTTCCCACCCTCTTCCTCGCCTTGCTTCGGTTTGATTTCTCCTGACCTGTACTTCTTCCCGTATGTCCAATGCCACGCTCTGCCTCTCAGCTGTTGCTTCCTACGTGGTCACTCACTCAAGGAAAGCGGTCCCACTGGCGTCTCATCTCTCTGGACTTCCTTCTGGATTTGGTCCTCTAATAACTGGCATATTGGTCACTCTTTGTTAGGATGTTTTCTTTTACTTTGTTCAGAGTTTTACTTGGCTTCAGCAGGAAGGCTAAATGGCCTCGTCGGCCATAGCCAGCACCGGTCTTCAAGGTGGTCATTCCAACAGGCTCGCAAGCATGGGCCTTCCTTTCTCCCGGACAGAAGAGGATTTCTCATTTGTAACTGGGCATCGGACACAACACTGGCCGGCGAGACTCACGTGCCCACGTGTAACAAGGTCGCAAGGACTGCAGGAACAGACTGTGCTTCACTTTGGACCCAAAGAGGAGAACATGCTCTCTCAGGAAACTGGTCTGGTGCCTGACATCATAATACAGTTCGCATTCATTTTAAATAAATATATTAGGTCCTCAGAATAGAAAAAAAAAACATCTAATAAATGTATACAGTGAATAGTGTGTCTTTATTCTATTTACAGTACATTTGTTATAAATATAATACATTTTTGAAAAGCTTATTTTTATTAACTGAGATTTATATTTTAAACAGATCAACTCAAATGTTAAAGTTACATAATAAAGAATATGATAATTTAAAGGACAAAAATCTCATATTGTGAAATAGTGCACACTATGCTGAGATGAATGAGGAAAAAAAGCTCAAACTCCTTTCAAAACTATATTCAAAGCATCAGAAAAATTTTTTTTTTACAAAGTTATGTATAAGCCATAGGGAACCACCAGGTACTGAACCATGACTTTTTAACCAAAGTTCAGAACTGATTTTAGAGAACCGTGTGAAGCAAGACAGGAAAGTTTGATTTCATACTCTATTGAACTTCACAGTAAAGCTGGAATTTGACTGAAGGCTTAAAGGAGTATTGCCAACGAGGCCTTTCCTTCCTCAAAATTGTCTGATTTCGCATACCATCAGGAAGTTGTAACAGCAGACTTAGACACTGGTTTTTAAGATGGTGCTTAATAAGGTGCATGGATATGTTGAAATTCTGCAATATGAGCATGTAAATTATTACCAGGTTTAAAGAAATACAAAAGAAGAATATCAGTTTCTCAGTCCAACGTGCTTTACATCATCAGCAAATTGACAAGTATTTTGCAGTGATCCGACACCAACCTCGAGAGCAAGTTGGGTATTTCAAATACTGCTGTAAAAGTCAGTCAGTAAAATAAACTGATTCTTGTGGATTTCAGTACAACTTTACAAGCTGTCACACATTATTAATGATGATCAGGGCAGGCATGGAGTTCTGCTGACTTGTTTCAAACACTGTAACTTGGTCCGATAACTTGGCAAACACCCTCGGAGTTCCAAGGTTATAGACACCCGTGTGGACAAAGCATGCTTTCAGCTGCAAGCTGTGCATCTCCTCGCTTTTAAGCCGCAGTTTATACTGAGTCTGTCCGAGCCACGTAAACGATCCATGGACTTCCAATGATTCTGGACTAAGGAAAAAGGGAGAGGATACATTGAAGGGTTTTTTCTTTATAAATTTATCCCCAAAGTCCCTTCTATCTAGCAATTTTATTTCTAGAAATAATTTTATGAAGCCAACTATTTAGAAAACACTCAAAATAGCAGCTAGCAAATGATGGAGCCAATTTTCAAACCCGAGCTTTTAACCATCACCTGGCTACCCATAACATAAAAACCCATGTGTATGTAAGAATGCTTATACTATTGAAACTGTTTATAATGCTGAAAAATGGAAAGCAACTCGGTATCTACCGATAAGTCATTAGTTCCTTAGTTACAATACAAATAATCATACACATAATGTGTTTAATTTCAGAGAGCTGCTTCCGTTCCTGGGATATTAATCAACAATAATGAGAGTATGTTTCCCATTTTCTAACAATCCACAAATTTCTGAATTCCAAAAAGCACCAGCTGTTGGGATATCAGATGCGGATGTATGAACCAGCATTTTTCTAAAGTATTATTTATAATCAGGGAAACAAAACTTAAAAAACACACACACTTTTTATCATAATCTTGCTGGTTTTCAATTTTAGAGTTCCTTCTCACCAACAAACTTCTATAAAACTTTTAGCTCTGGTGAAATTAATGCTCTGCTCGGGAGGTGCTTCCCACTTTGTCCCTCTCCTACGCTAAGATAGTCCTCCGTAACCCTTTGTAATACTTCTGCAACCCCAAACAGAAGAAAGCCTGAGTGAACTGACCCATGTTAGTAACTATTTGCAGAATTTCAAAATATTAAATTGCTCTCAAACCAACCTTAAACTATGAAATAACCGTACACTACATAAACCTTTACCTTGTTGCTTTATGCCGAAGATCCACTATGACATCGACATCAGCCTTCGAACAATTGGAAAGTAAAAGGGTGACTGGTACTAAACAAAGGCTATGGAAGAAAAATAAACATGATTAGCTGTGTGTTTTTAAAAACAGACTTCTGAGTAAATAACACTTAGGAATACCTTACAGAGAAGAAGCTCCTAAAAACAACTAGATTCAAGAAGGGGAAAAACTGAGACCCAAAACCACTTAAGACAAATTGTGTATATAAAGTAAAACATAATAATACAATGGCTGAATATCAGAATATACACATCCACAAAACCATTTTTTATTTCAATGTATTATAGTTAATCTTAAAAAACAAAAACAAAAAACACTAAAATAGTTCTAGGTGGTTATTTCCCAATATGAAAACAAAAGTAAACGATCTCAGCTACAAAAGTCCAATGGAGAAAACAAAAATCATGGAAATGCCAGCACACAAGCCTGACCTCTCCCTCCAGCCCCTCTCTCAGGAGCTCTTTCATTGGGAACGAGGCTCCCGGCTTGCCAGCCCAGCCCTGGCTTCCTATTCCTCTTCATTCATTCCTGCCAATTCTTCACCCACACATCTAGGAACTGCACTTCCTCCCTCTTCATTTCCTCTGGAAGTTTACCACTTGGTAAATCTTAAGTCATTAATACTGTTGAAATTTGAACTGTTTTGATGTGTCTATATTGCATTCATGCTTTGGGTTTAATTTCTGTCTCCGAAACAAATACAAAGTGATATAGTATTTTTTCCTTGTTTCTCACTTACTGATAAACCTGCTCATTAAAAGGAAACTTTTGCGGAAACCGGTTTGGCTCAGTGGATAGAGCGTCAGTCTGCGGACTGAAGGGTCCCGGGTTCGATTCCGGTCAAGGGTACCTACCTTGGTTGCAGGCACGTCCCCAGTGGAGGGTGTGCAAGAGGCAGCTGATTGATGATTCTCTCTCATTGATGTTTCTAACTATCCCTCTCTGTAAAAAATCAATAAAATATTTAATAAATAACTAACTAACTAAATAAATAAATAAATGGAAACTTTTGGCAACTGAGGTACTATCTGTCTTTAACCATAGCAGCAACACAGAGAACTGTAGTCAAGGGTAAATTACTAATACCAATACTTAAAGATTAACTAGTATCTAAATTTCTCCTTCAGCATTTGGGTTAATGCCATAGTCAAGTGTGCATGTGCTGTATAAAAATGTTAACAAAAAACAAACCCTCGAACCTTTTTTGATGAAATGGGTGGCTAAGTGACTCCGGGTAGTGAAGACTGGTTTTAATGAGGCTGGAAAGCTGCTCTGCAGAGGGTCTCGAAGAAACAGCCGTGTTTTCCGGCCTGAAAAATTTTAATGGTTCCATTTCTGGTGGCTCCTGAAAAAATACATGACAATGAAAGCACTGCCTTATAATGAGTACAGAGTTAAAACCAACGAAGTACAGCAGACACTATTTCTGCTGTTCTTTAAACGAACAGCTGGAATCATTTGCAATATAATTTAGGATAAAGAAAGCAGAATATGGAATTATTTATTCATTTCCCATTTATTATATGCTGGACTGAAATGTTGTTGTTACAATAATACATTTTTATTGGTTTCAGAGAGGGAAGGAAGAGGGATAAATAGATAAAAAGATCAAGGAGAGAGAATCATTGACTGGCTGTCTCCATGAATTCCAGCAACTTCACATATTAGCTCTATGATCTTAGATAAGCTGGTTAAAAAGTTAAGACTTAATTTCCTCATATGTAAAAAGGATTCATAATAACAATAATTTCAAAAGTCCTGGTTCTTATCTGGTGAAAGTGCTTAGTAGTAAGGCTATATCTTCATTCCGTTGTATAGCATCTGTTTACCTTTTTAATGTAAAGCTTAAAAATTAAGATCTATTATTTATAAAAACAATATAAGGTAACTATTTGAATTACTGGACTAAATGTGCTTAAACTTTGTTCACAGATACGATGAGAACTTTTTGGTAAGATCAAACAGTACTTCAGGAGAAATAAGAAAACACATTAAACACTATTACCAGCTGTACCCCACTCCAGAGGGTGCCCGCTACATTTTAAGAGATGCCCCTGGAATTCCACTACAGGGTGGGCCTGTTGCAAGTGAGGAAATAGAGAGAACATTGTTCTCTCAAGCAAAGCAACTCTTTATGTAATGTGAATTCTGGATTCAATAGAGTATACCATAGGAACCATAAATGCATCTTAATACTCTTAGAAGGGGTTAGTGAATTTTATAAGAAATTTACGTTCATTTCTAATTTTAATCAGTCTTCTCAACCAACCACCAACTCAAATCCCAACATAAATGCTTGCATAAGGCAGACTTCATCAAAAATACAACCTTACCCCCCTCCCCCGACCCCGCTTACAGGAAAGCCTGGAAGCGAACTGTGAGTACCTGTTTCTGAGGATACGAACAGGCTTCTTTGCCCACAGTGTGAAGAACAACATGATGCTGGCCTTCCAAAATAAGCTGCTTACTGTCTTCCACCACGTAGGCCTGAGACACAAAGCACAAGAATGTCACCTGCCGAGCAGGAACCTGAAGAGCAGCGCAGGGACTCTCTCTCCTGATGCGGCGGAGCGAGGCTGAGGGGGGCGTTGGGTCGTTCAAATCTTGGCTCCGTCCCTAACCCCCCTCCACGGCTGAGGGCATTGCTGCTGGAGGTGTCATGGGGCTGATGCTGCTCTGCACTGAAGACCGCCCTCAGCCACCACGGCGGGCGGACTCTCCGGGCTGCCCCAGCTCAGCCCTTCTCTGTGCTTGTCTCCAACTCAGGAGCCTCTGTATGTCCAGCTGGCAGAGGCCCTTTGTGCCCAACACCAAATCAGCCTAATTACCTTGACAACAAGAAACTAGGGGAATACAGCAGCCACGATAAAACCCAGAGAGAAAGCCCGGAGAAGTGGTTGGCTGCAGTTGTGTGGTGGTTACGGACTTTGGCAGAGGGTCTCAGGCCAAGGATGTCACCGAGAAGTATTTCAAATGCAAGAAATGGACAAATAAACTCGGTTTTGTTTATCAAAAAAAAAAAGACGCCGTCTTATTTTCGGGGAAACAGGGTACCTATCAATTACTAACACTCACGGCTGTCAGCATTTCTACTTTTGTTTATTCACTGAGTCTGTGAAGTATCTGCTGAAATCTGCCTGCCTCTATAGCACAGCTGGCTTGGACATTTCAGAGCCACATCTGAAATCTTTTCCAATTTGCTCTGGGGCGCCTCAGGCACTGGTACAGAAGAGAGTCATGAGACAAGCTCCTTTTCTCCACTGGAATACCAATCCAGAGGCCAGGCTTATTATGTTCCTTTCTGTCTGCTGCAAGTGTATGCAACAGCGTTTTCAGATAAAATATTCTGTCATTATAAATATATATATATATGCCACAGGCCTTGGCCAGCTGGGTAGCTCAGTTGGTTAGAGCATCATCCCAATATGTCAAAGCTGCAGGTTCAATCAGAGCACATACAAGAATCTATCAATGAATGCATCAATAAATAGAACAAACTGATATTTCTCTCTCTCTCCAAAATAAATAAATAAAAATAAAATTTTAAATGTGCTACAGCAAAAAATAAAGGTAAAAATAAAAGGAAACAAAGGAGAGAGGCAAATGGAATCTATCAAAGATGAATAGCAACAAATGAATGATGAGTACCAAGAGGTTCATGCTGCTATTTCCCCCTTTTCAGTGTTTGGAAAGAGTTTACTAAATAGTAAAGAGTTTAACACCTGCTGCCATGAAGCTCATCATGTGTACAGTATTCTCAGCAACACTTAGAAATAGCAATAATACAGAGGAAAGTGATTGATTTGAATGAATTCTTCCTTTTGGCAAAAAAAAAAAAAAAAAAAGTCATTATGGAACTACTAAAAAAGTTATAAAACAACCTTAATATTGAAACTGGAATATTGAAGCAGGAAAAACATAAGCAGCAGTTTACATTTGTTCTTCAGCTCAAGAGTCAAATATGTATAAGCAAGGCTTGCTGAAATAATGTAACATCACATACCTTCCACAATATGACAACATTCAAATCCACCTCACTGCACTTCTGAATTAATCTCACAGCGTCCTCTGTTGACTGCTTTTCCGTATGCGCTGATGGCTGGACTTTTTTTAATTCAGAGGATAAACTTCGATAAAAGAAATCTGCACATGGGCTTGCAGAACTTACTATCTGTTAAAAGAATATCACTAGTCTAATCAATGTTTTCTATTGATATACCTGCCAAACATATATTTCTACAACTTGCTCATACCAAAAGGCTATTCGGTAAGCTCATATCAATGTGTTGACTATAGAGAGACCACACTAATACTGAAACACCTAAACTCTCTGGTACAAATTACCCAGAATCTTAAAAGATGTTACTTCAAAATAATTAATCTACCCTGCTGTGACATTAGGTTTGATCTTTCAAGTATCCATGATGAATGAGTAGCTCTAAGAAAATAATTAAAAAATAAGTTGTTGAAAAGAAAGTAAATTTTTTTACTATTAAAATCTTTCTCATTCAAATACTTAGAACACTAGGCCACATTCCACCAACCAGAATGCAAGTGATTCTGGTATAAATTTGGCTTTTACACTTGAAGGGAGAGAATATGAGAAAAGGATGTTAAATGAACTCAGCACTGCAAAATTTCCCTTAATGGAATATTGTGTTTCCTCGTAAAATCTCTTAGATTTCCTGCATTACAAGCTGTATTATATAGATGCCAACCTTAGATTTAATAAATATATACACTGTCCCCATTAGAAGTGAACTTTTCTGGTAAACTACTGTCCCATAGTTTTCTCATTGATCTGCAATGCTTAGTAAGTTCTACTCAACCAGATTCATCATAAGGGGAAATGCTTTGTTTCTGTCTTCAATGTTACCATAAAAAACTATTCAGTAACAAAATAACAATTTCAACCTGAATATAATTTAAGAGTTGCGGTGATATTTCTAGGTATTTTAAATTAAAAAATGAACCAAACAAAGGAACTGAATTCCTAAGAGCTAAATTCAATCATTTGGGAAGCACAGTCATACTCGCTTTAGAATTATTGGGGTTTTGGTACTCTGAGCTATTTCTAAATAGCTGTTTCCTCAAAATGTCAAAAGACAGTCACAAAGAGTCAGTCAGTGAGGACAAATAAGAGAAATACAAAAACAAAAAGTAAAAGGATTTTTGGAATTATCAAGGAAAAAACACAAAGAAAAAATAATGCCAATAACAGCATACAACAACATAGAATTTCACATCCCTAGTCCAGAACTTTTTAGAAGCAGATCCCCAGATCACCTCTTCAGATTATCTGCAGGGCTGGCTGAAATGCATATTCCCAATCTCCACCCGAGACATAAGGAAACGGAGCTTTAGAGGCAGAAAGGCAAAGCTCTCATTTTTACAAAATTCTCTAAGTCAAAAACAGGGTCTGCAGACTGATTACCTCAAGATCACCTGGCAGCTTCCTACATAATAAAAGGCTAACATGCAAATCGACTGAATGGTGGAATGTCCTGTCGCTATGATGCACAGACCACCAGGGGGCAGACACTCAACGCAGGAGCTTCCCTGATGGTCAGTGTGCTCCCACAGAGACCCACTCAGCTAGAAGCCAGGCTGGTGAGCTAAGTGCAGTGGTGGGAGCCCCTCCCGCCTCCATGGCAGCACTAAGGATGTCCGGCTGCCAGCTTAGGCCCATGCCCTCTAAGGGCTCCCGACTGCGAGGGTGCAGGCTGGGCTGAGGGCACCCTTCCACCCTCACCCCCCTCCCACCCTGAGTGCATGAATTTCATGCACTGGGCCTCCAGCATAAAAATATAGACTCTCAAGCTCACTCTAGTCCTGCTACATCAGAATCTGCATTTTACATCCCCAGCTGACTCATATGCACATTTTGAAAGTTTGAAAGCTACCACTCTAGGGAATTCTTACAAATAATGAAGTTGGGAGTATCGCTGCTCAAGACAATAATACATGTAAAATCATAAGAGTTCATTATTTGGGTCTCAGAACCATATGGTAACCAAAATCCAGAGGAGTATCATCTTTATGTTCCACTGTGACCACTTTCTCTAGTGGACAGGTTCCTTCATATAATCCTGTTTCTCTCTTCTCTCTCTCTCTCTCTCCTCCCGTCCCCCCCAAGAACTATACTTATTTCATGATACTCTTAAGAGAAAGTTAATTTTAAGTAATTGATTAAAATGGTATAACCCTTATAGCATTTTTGGTCTGTTTTGGGACATGAAGTCAAGTTGTAAAACCCAACAAAGTTGACAAGTTCACCACCAAAGAATGTGGGGATTACTAAAGCAATAGTTTTGCCAAAAGAGGCAGATGTTCCAAAACTGTCACTTTTATTGTTATTATTCTTTTGAGACCTGTGACTTTTAAAATCAAATGCTACTATGTAAAACTTTAGACAAAAAAGAAAATTATTTTAAAAAATTCAAATGCCTCTGTGTTTATTTGCATACCTGTTCATTTCCAAAGATGATATCTGCAAAGGTGTATTTTTCTGAGGACCGTGTGGCAACTGAAAAACAGAGGGAGAAAGCCTAATGATATCACTGGCATGAAATATAAAATGACCACAAAGAAGGGTTAAAGTAAAACGAATTTACCTTCTTCTTCCTTACATCGTATTGCCTTGAAGCAAAACTTTCCTTTTTCCCTACTGCCAAGTTTGGCATCTAGGAAGAAAAGAAAATTTCAAAGATCGTTCTCAGTTTATGACATGCGAAAAGCAATTCATTATTCAGATTTCCTCTATTGAAAACAATTCATAATTATAAATAACTGCAGGCCCAGTGCGTGAATTCATGCATGGGTGAGGTCCCTTGGCCTTACTGGCCATTGGGGCCAATGGGGCCTCAGAAGGTTGGCGGAGGACGAGCCACAGGAGGTTCCAATCGGGGCCACTGGGGCCAGCCAGCTGGGGGGAGGGGTTGCAGGAGGTTGGCCGGCTGGGGGGGAGGAGGAGGCAAGAGCGGGGGAGGGACCACGGGAGGTTAGCTACACGTGGGAAATTGGCTGTGGGAGCACAATGACCACCAGGGGGAAGCTCCTGCACTGAGTGTCTGTCCCCTGGTGGTCAGTGTGCGTCATAGAGACCAGTCGGCTAGTCACTTAGGCTTTTACATATATAGACAAGAGGCCCAATGCACAAAATTTGTGTATGGGGGTGTCCCTCAGTCCAGCCTGTACCCTCTCACAATCTGGGACCTTTGGGGGTATGTCTGACTGCTGGTTTAGGCCCACCGGTGGGCCTAAGCCAGCAGTCGCAATCTGGGGCCACTGGCTCCTAACTGCTTGTCTGCCTGCCTGGTCGCTCCTAAACACCTCTGCCTACCTTCCTGATAGCCTCTAACCACTCACCTTCCTGCATGATCATCCCTGACCACCTCTGCCTGCCTGCCTAATCACCCTAACCACTCTCTGGGGGCGGGACTAGCTGGAGTGAGGAGCTGTGGTCATTCTGGTTCTCTGGTCGTTCTACCGTTTTGGTCACTAGGCTTTTATTCCATAGGATGTTTAAGGAAAAATGTCTTTGCTTTCATCTCAAACTAAATCTCACTCAGCTCTTTAAAAGGATAAAATTAAATTTTCTTGAAATACATGTTCATATGTCTGTCTGTCTATATATACACTGAGTGGCCAGATAATATGATCTCTGAACACATAATCTGGCCACTCAGTGTATATCCTATATAAAAAAAGGCTAATATGCAAACTGTCCCCTTGACAAGGAGTTCAACCAGCAGGCAGGCCAGCCAACCGCCCATGTCCCCTCCCCCTGGCCAAGCTGGCTGGACCCCCACCTATGCACAAATTCATGCACCGGTTCATGCACCGCACACACACACACACACACACACACACACACACACAGAGTGGCCAGAGATAATAATACTCTGGCCACTCAGTGTATAAATGGCAGTATAGATAGAAAGTTTGAAAGATTAGAACTTTTGGGCTAGGAAGTCTAAAATCCCACCACTCTACTTCATTTCCATTCAGTATTTATAATAATAAAAGCATAATATGCTAATTAGACCAGACAGCCGAACGACCTTCCGGACTAAGCTGAGGCTGTGAAGGTCGAGGCAGCCACCACAGCTGCAAGGACCAAGCGCCTTGCATGAATTTCGTGCATCAGCCCTCTAATTTCTTCAGAATATGCTAATTTATACCAATATTCTTATATGCACATAATTTGCTAGAATTTTTTCACCAGTGAAAACACCTGTAAATTCTAAAATATTTTAATTACAATAGTTTTAGTTGCAGCTTAATTTATATTACAGCTACACTGAATTTTTCCCTAGAGCATAAATCTTACAATAAGTTAATTCCTTTATATAAGGAATTAAAACAAGGATAACCCTGAGGCTAAGGATTTAAACATTTTTTTAATATTTTTTGAATATGTATCATACAATTTATTTTCAGAAGGAGCAATTATCATTTTTCCAGCTTCACTTCACTCTACTAGATACTCTCTTGTTACTGGCAGGATGATAAACTGATAGAAATATTCTGGAAAACAATTTGTCAATATATATCACAAGTATGCATACTCTTTTTCTTTTTTTTTTTTTTTTTTAATGTTATATAGGTATAGAAATACACAGAAGAGTCAGTGAGTACATAGGCATGGTTATATTCAGAAAACCCAGCCGAAACCGGTTTGGCTCAGTGGATAGAGCATCGGCCTGAGGACCAGGTTCGATTCCAGTCAAGGGCATGTACCTTAGTTGTGGGCACATCCCCAATAGGGGGTGTGCAAGAGGCAGCTGATTGATGATTCTCTCTCATCTATGTTTCTAACTCTCTTCCTCCCTGTAGAAAATCAATAAAATATATTTTAAAAAAAGGAAAAAAAAGAAAACCCAGCCTTCTGATGGCAAAAAAAAAACCTTCCATATTCTAGTCTATAAGTTTCTGAACTGTTTGAAATTTTGACAGTGATCGTGTATCAAGGTACCAATTTTACAAGTGATTAAAAAAAATAGATCTTGAAGAGAAAAAGATGGAAGATGGAAAAGAATCAATTAAAAAAGGAATTTGGTTTATAGTTACATAAACTAATGAAGGCACAATTTAATGCTTAATATAATCAGTTTTAAGGAAGGTACCATATTATGGTACTATTCTAGGAGGAAAAAAGTCAATCAATGAAGATATGTTAGAATTTACTATGAAGAAGGAAAAAGGTACAAACCTTTGTTTTCGGAGAGATTTACAGATTTCTGTAGCTTCCAGTGTTTGCTACTACTTGATACTTGTACTATATGGAATTCCTTAACACCTGCTTCACTCTATCAAAAAGAAATGACAGAATCATTCAGGATTTAGGAGCACTAACATATTCTAATGAAAACAATATTCAAACACTGATACCAAAGTCAACATAGATTAACATAAGATGAAAATTTTATTTTAAAATAAATTAACGATACACATTTCAGAAAGTGTTATTTAAATTCCTTTAACATTCTTAAAATAGACAAACCAATATTGCATCTAAGAAATGTTTATAATGTATTCCTAGTGGCAAATTTTAAAAACACTAAAAATATGCATAATGAGTTACTAGTGGTGTTTGATAGACAATTATTTGTTCTCAATTTTTAATCAAAACTATGTCATTATTTTATTTCTTCTGATTGTTCTGATACAACCCATTCCCATTAAGGCAAAAAAAAAGAACAAAAAAACTACAAAACAGCCGAAACCGGTTTGGCTCAGTGGATAGAGCATCGGCCTGCAGACTGAAAGGTCCAGGGTTTGATTCCAGTCAAGGGCATGTACCTTAGTTGCGGGCACATCCCCAGTAGGGGGTGTGCAAGAGGCAGCTGATCGATGATTCTCTCTCATCAATGTTTCTAACTCTCTCTATTCCTCTCTCTTCCTCTCTGTAAAAAGTCAATAAAATGTATTTTTTTTAAAACCTACAAAACAATAAGCATGGCCAATGGACACAGACAGTGGGGGGGTATGTGCTAGAGGGCGGGAGCGAGCAGTAAGAGGTCAATAGGAAAAAGGAGACATATGTAAAACTTTCAACAATAAAGAATTTTAAAAATAAATAAAATAAGAGAAAAAACACAACTAATAAAACAGAATCCCAATATAAATAGTTATTTAAACCACATGTTTTTATTCTCTTGAATAAAAGCCAATATAAAAATTAAAATTTTCTTACTCTTTCAATTATTGATTTTTTTTTTTTTTAGGGGGAAGGGGGTTATCAAAGTATTAGTGCATTAACCCTAAATATCATAAAAAGAAGTGCCCTTACAAACTTATGAAGCTAAAAGCAAAGTACATTATAGAATTAATAATATTTTAATAAGTATAAAGAACCACTCTAAAGCTCAGATCCTATTTTAATTATGAGATTGCATTTCTTTTTAAGAATATTTATTTTTATATTTTGAGTACATAAACAAAAATGGTAAAATGTTTAAAAAGCTTTATATAAAGGAAATTGTACTGTCAGAAAAGTATGTGAAAGATTATCACATCAATACTGAATGTGAAATCCTAACAGCTTTATAAATTTAATTACAAAAGAGATTCTCAATGGAGAGATCTCTTTTGGGTTGAATTACTAGCATATGAGGCTACATTTTCATGTGCAAATGTACATTTATGCCACCAGATCTTTTTATTTGGAGACTTAAAATTATAAAGCTAATGGAAAATTAGTATGTTTTCATACTCTGCTCTTGTGAACGGAAAAATATCCATTACTAAAAACAAAGGAAATACTTCAAATCGAATTAAAAACAAAATTGAGTTTTAAACCAACTTACAGTATTGATATTTTCCACATCCACAAAGACTAGCATATTGCCTCCTCTGCCCTCCTCATCTTCAAGAGAATTACTCCTGCAGACAGTGGCACGTACGTTCAGAGATCGGCTGGTGCAAATAACTGCTGTGTGTCTTAATATCCTGTGACTGAAGAAACAAAAAACTGCAAATTTAATCTAAAAGCCTCTTACTGTGTGTGATTCTCTAATTCCAAATAAAGCTTTTAAAACTTCAACTCTTTCAGAATCACTTATTTAAAAAACATATATATATATAATGAAGTAAAATTACCTAGTTGGTCTTCAGTTCAATCAGTTCTCATTTGGAGGTAACTGTTAGTCTCTCTGACTTAGGAAAACCATCCTCTGTAGTCGTGTCCGGACCACGCCTCTCTGTGATGGCAGCTCCAAAGAAACTACCTACCACGTCATCGCCACCCTTTCGCCTATCACTCAAAGCCTCCACAATAAGGCTTTACATCCGGGCTTATTGATGTTTTACACTGTGGCCAAACTACCTCCTCCAGGTTGTAAATCCTGTAAATCTTCATACACACAGTCCTGGGAGACTCACTACGCTCTTGCCTATACACCCTGATAAGCAAATTTTAAAGTCTTCACTTTCCTTGGAAGCTCATTTCATCTCTACTCCACTCCTAAGGCCTTCTCTGTTGTCTTGGCCAGAGCATTCTCTATCCTCTTCTTGAGGAGAATTAGCACTGAATGAGGATCTAAAATGTTCTTATGCTTACAAATACTGTATTATTTCTCCTCAGAGTCTTATGAGATATTTTAAACACTCTATTAAATAAAATAAATGTAGCACAATCACTCTTACTTAATTTTATAAAAATCAGGAAAATATTCTGCTATGTCATAGAACAGGCCACAGTCCTTGTCAGAGACAGGTTTAGTTTCTTCAGTGAGTTCCAGTAAGACATCACCCCAATCATCTGTCAAGCACATACATACTTTTTTTTATACATTCTTGTAGGGCAGGAGAGGGCACAAGGGGAAAAAAAAGTTAAAATAATTTTCTTAAAACAGAATGACTGCAGGCATGTTGTCTTCATATACAAATGATACTTGTGAACTTCATTATTTGGTGATAACTCTGACCAAAAATTAGTTTTATTAAAGAATCATCAAGTTTATAAATAGGAAAGCCACTAAAAAGATTGTGCTAGCCTGGCTGGTATTGCTCAGAGGTTGAGCATTGACTTATGAACCAGGTCACATATCTGGGTTGAGGGCTCTTCCTCGATAGGGGGCATGCTGGAGGCAGCTAATCAATGATTCTCTCATCATTGATGTTTCTCTCTCGCTCTTCTTCTCTGAATCAATAAAAATATATTTCTTTTAAAAGATTAATGTAGCTTAATTTTTTCTACTTTTGGCCACTTAGAATTTATTGCTCACTATATTAGGAACAGCCTGCATATAAACATCCTGTAGAAGTTAGCAAATATCAACATGTTTATTTGAATTTGTACACATATATTAAAGGAAAAGATTAAACCAGAGATTTCCTAATGCTCACCGTATTTTGGGCAGCTTTTTAACACTTTCGTAGTAAAACAGAAAGTTAATCTCATGGACACCTTCTTCATCCGGCCCGCGTAACCACAGCGGCAGCTGCACTGAAGCTCCAGGCAGAAGAACAGGGTCCGGCAGGGGCACAGGAATCACCTCGGGCTGACTTCCTGTGCCGATGCCAAAGTCCGCCGCAGACGCTACCGAGGCGAGCGCTGTACGCACAGAGGCAGACTCTGTCACCACGGTCTTGTAAGCACTACAGTTCTCAGAAGCTGAGGGACTCAGTGGCGTCAGAGCAGTCGTGTTACCGCCAAAGGTAAAGAACTCTGGACGTTTAGAAACAACCTTCAATCCAGTCAGAGGACATTTGCTGACATTGACAAATTCTACATATGCTTTTCGGATTTCTCCACAGAGGAGCCCTGTAGGGAAATGTATAAAGAACACCTGCATTGGAGGGAAAAAATAGTATTATATTGTCTGTTAACAATGCTGACCCCTAGTGAATGAATGACACTTTAAGATGCTGTATTCTTTACTAAAGGTTTGCAAGTATTTTATTCTCTCTGAATATGTGGCAATTAACAACTCCGTTTTAGAAAAGAGATAGAAACCCAGAGATAATAATTTAATTTTTAAAAAAAGAAAGAAAAAAAAAGAAGAGATAGAAACCAATGTTACTCAGTAGCAGACTTCAATTAAGAATTAAAGGAAAAATGTCCCTAACAGAGGGTTACTGGCAAAATCTTCACAGCTCTGTAGATTATAGAAAAGAGAAGTCAAAAGTAATTTAACATGTTTATTTGAATTAAATAATTATGTCAAAAAGTCCTTATCAATATCAACTTGAAAAATAGCTCATTTATACGTCATTAAAATGAAAAGATACTAGTACGAAGAACCTCAAACTTTCAGAAACTCACATGGAAGCAAAAGCTGAACTTGACTAATGTTGGCTTTATATAGCTTTTCCCATTTAGTGTATTATTCATTTAGTGCCGTGGTCGGCAAACTGCGGCTCACGAGCCACATGCAGCTCTTTGGTCCCCTGAGTATGGCTCTTCCACAAAATACCACAGCCTGGGCGAGTCTATTTTGAAGAAGTGGCATTAGAAGAAGTTTAAAAAATTTGGCTCTCCAAAGAAATTTCAATTGTTGTACTGTTGATATTTGGCTCTGTTGACTAATGAGTTTGCTAACCACTGGTTTAGTGTATGATTCATGCAAGAAATGAGCTTGATAACCAGGTGCTGCCACAAACCCAACAGGAGTTACATAACACTTTGGACATAAATATGAACATATTCACACAATTTCTAAAAATTAAGACAAAAAGTGACTTCCAACACACATCTGGTTTCGAGACTTTCGGTATTGTGGACCTATAGTAAGAGGTAGAAATATGGGCTAACAACTACTTGCATTTAAAGAATCGTTAAGTATAAACTTAAGAACTACACTGAGTATATCAGAAAGGATAGCTATAGCCAATATGAGGAAAATGTTCTAATAAAGTTATGGCTGGTAATCCCAAAGGAGTTATAAAAATCCTAGGGAAAAACCTGTGTTTCTTAATCTAAGTTTGAATGGAACTACATTATCACCACAGTTTAAGGAATCAGATAAAATTTGTGGATATTAGAAGCTTTAAAATGGATATGACAAAATAAAGGATTAATATAGAATCCCAATTATAGGAAAAAATAAAGTAGCATAACATTATACTGAAAGCACTGACTGAACTGATTGGCTAGTGTCAAATAAACTTAAGTCAAATTACCTAATATTTGTGGAGGAATATCAACTTTGAGGTGTTACATCAAAACAATGACATGAGCAACTAGTGAGACAGAGTACCACAGCCACACTGCAATATACAGACAACCGGACACCATTAACAAGGCTCCGGTGCTGGTGAAAATGGGAAAGGTGATGGTATACGTAAGAGATCAGTGACACACCATCTGGAGATGCTGTGTACGGTATCTTCAGAATGAAGGTTTTATAAGTATAGTAAGTTGACTCTTTTAGAAGAATCAACATATCTAGCCTTTATTTCAAAAGCACAGTTACTGAAAGTCCTTTTATATAGTCGATATTGGTAACAGCTTCAATTTAAATGGAAAAGACCAAGACTTAGTAATTTATCTTAAAAATACATATGTGTGAATACAAATATGCAAAATGATAAGCATGTGGTTATTCACTGTGGTTTTATCTATAAGGGAAAAGGACTAGACACAAATCAAACATCTATCACACAAGTCTGGTTGAATAAACTAGATATACACAACATAGTCTATACTAGAAATCAGTGGAAACTTGAAGGGGCCTGCCCTTCTCTCTGCTTTTCTGTATTCAAATGGTAGTATATTTATAGTATTTTAATTTTTATCTTTTTTTTCAACGAGTTTCAGTAATTTTCATCCTCACTTATTTTGGTAAATATCCTATAATAGAGGCCCAGTGCACAAATTCGTGCACCGGTGGGGTCCCTCAGCCTGGCTGGCCATCGAGGCCTATCAGGGGGCAGGCCAGCCAGGAGGAGGGACTGCAGGAAGTTGGCTGGCCAAGGGGAGGGACTGCAGGAGGTTGGGCGGCCAGCCAGGGTGGGGAGGGGTCCTGGGACGTTGGCTGTGGGAGTGCACTGACCACCAGGGGGCAGCTCGTGTCGAGCGTCTGTCCCCTGGTGGTCAGTGCATGTCATAGCAACTGGTCGACTGGTCAAACAAGTTGTTTGGTCATAACTGTCACTTAAGCTTTCGTTCATATATATATAAAAGCATAATATGCTAAGTGTCCAACCAATTGGTCAACCGTTCAGTCGACCACTCGACAAGTCACTATGACACACACAGACTACCAGGGGGCAGACACTCAGAGCAGTAGGTTAGCTTGCTGCTGAGGTCGAGCCAATCAGGACTGCATTTGTTCTGCCTCACAGGTAGAGACACCTGATCCAAGGTAGGCCAGAATTCTCTTGCAGAAATTTGAAACTTGTATTAAAGTGACACGGAAACTCTATGTTATAAGACTAAGGCCATATCAATAGCAATACTTTTAAAAGGCTTACAAACATTTGCTGCTACATTCCCCGGAACTGCGAGTCCTTATTTTTCTTTGGGACTTATTAGTCCATAATTCTTTACTTGTCAGGAGATACCCAATACCCTTCAACTAAATAATGTTTTCTCTTTTTTGGCTTCTGCAATCTAGCATCAGTGAGTTTTCTGCAACTAAAAGACCTTGAACTTCTGTGGCATGAATGCAGAAGTGGGTGGAGATACAAATAAGGTGAAGGGAACGTAGCTTTTTATTCAGATTACTTTAAATTTTTACAGCATTCCCATATTACTTTTATATCTTTACAAAAAAACAAAAACAAAAACAAAAGCCACTGATTTTATGAACAAAACTGTTCTTTTAGAAGTTTTTCCAATTTCCATTCATATTTTGAGAGTAATATTTCATAACCAGGCTGTGACTTAATGCTAAGTTGCATGATTACCTTTATCTTTGTGAATTAGATTAATCCTATCTTAATAATTTTAAAAGATCAATGTATTAATAACTTCAAAGCCTAAAATTAATTCACTCAAAGTATAATATGAATTTATAAATAATTCACAAATTTTTAAAAAGTGAAATACCTCCAACAGTGGCATTTCCTCAACGATAATGGGATCTAATCGTCGATCAGGACCGTATGTTATAGATGTTTTCTCTTCTTTTGTGCTGTTAAGTCGAGGACCTTGAATTTCTAAATCTTGTCTCCCTCGAACTGACATGCTCAAGGAATGTTTCCCTGAAATAAAAAACAATCAGTGTCCTAACAAACTTGGTATGTTATTATCAGTTTAGCCTGAATATATGAATACTCTTAAATTTCAGATTATTTCTCGAAAAATTCTAGATTATTGACTAGCATGATTCATCAAAGAATTATGCTTTATTTTCATTTTGATTATACCTATTTTATGATGCTTAATTACTCATCTTATTAGGATTTTATTACTTGCAAAACGACTGCCTATCACTAAATAGGAACCTGTATTTTTGAAACCTGTATTAAACCATAATGGCTATTATCCAAAAAATTTCTATTGAAGAGAATGGCTGTGTTGGGACCAGATTATAAAAAAGATCCATTCTCATCCTTGCCAGTTTGGCCAGTGGATAGTGTTGGCCTGCTGAATGAAGGGTCCAAGGTTTGATTCCAGCCAAGGGCACAGGTCCAATCAAGGGCTTGATCCTCAGTGTGGGGTATGCAGGAGGAAGCTGATGAATGATGCTCTCTCATCACTGGTGTTTCTATCTCTCCCTTTCCCTTCCTCTCTGAAATCAATAAAAATAAAGGTATGAGAACAAAGCATATTTAAAAAAAAAATAGCATCTTTTTTTTTTAAATACATTTTTTAAATTAATTTTTTACAGAGAGGAAGAGAGAGGGATAGAGAGCCAGAAACATCGAAGAGAGAGAAACATCGACCAGCTGCCTCCTGCACACCCCCTACTGGGGATGTGCGCACAACCAATGTACATGCCCTTGACGGAATCGAACCCGGGACTTTTCAGTCCGCAGGATGGTGCTCTATCCACTGAGCCAAAAACGGTTTTGGCAAGAATAGCATCTTAAAAAAAAATCTATTGTCAAAGGGGAAAAAATCCCAAAATACTGAAGAGATCAACTTTTCACTTATATTCAAACATGTAAGTAAACTAACATAAATACTGATAGTAAATGCATATACTAGAATTTCTGGATAACTGCATTGTCTCAATAGATTGTACAAAGAAAGTTAAACTCATTTAATATTCATGTAAGGATTATCCCTTACTTCGACAAAGTGGAAAAAAAGTCAAGGATATAAACTATCTTTCCTGCAGGATTACTCAGAGCCTTTAATGTTCAGATGGCCACTGTAATTATTCCCAGAGCAGACATAAAATGCAGCATTTCCCATACTTTGTTTGATCTAGATCTCTATTAGCATTTTACATAATAAACTACACTAAATGCCAAGACCGGTTTGACTCAGTGTTAGAGCATCGGTGTGCGGACCGAGGGGTCCCAGGTTCGATTCCGGACAAGGGCATGTACATTGGTTGCAGGCACATCCCCGATGGGGGGTGTGCAGGAGGCAGCTGGTCGATGTTTCTCTCTCATTGATGTTTCTAGCTCTCTATCCCTCTCCTTTCCTCTCTGTAAAAAATCAATAATATATATTAAAATAAAATAAACTACACTAAATCATGAAAATTCTGCTTATAAGATGTAACTTATTTCAATAGTTAATTCAGGGCCTGTTCTCATTAACTCCCTAAAATAACATCTATTTATATAAAAGCCCAGCAACCAAACTGCAGAATGACCAGAATGATCAGTCACTATGACGCACACAACCACCAGGGGGCAGACGCTCACTGCAAGAGCTGTCCCCTGGTGGTCAGTCTGCTCCCACTAGGCTGACTGGGATGAGCGGTTGCTCCCACAGCTGGAGCAGCCACTCAGATGGAGGGTCTACAGTCGCTTGGCTAACTGGCCATGCCCACCAACAGTGTATGAATCCGTGCACCAGGTCTCTAGTATAAATTTTACTATTCTATATAATAAAAGGGTAATATGCAAATTGACCCTAATGGCAGAACGACTAGGAACAACCAGTCACTATGATGCACTCTGCCCCCCAGGGGGCAGACGATTAACGCAGGAGTTTTCCCGTAGTGATCAGTGAGCTCCCACATTGGGAGCTCCACTCAGCCACAAGCTGGGCTGACTGCAGCAAGTGCAGCGGTGGTGGCAAGAGCCTCCTCAGCAGTGCTGAAGCTGCAAGCCTAAGCCGTCAGTTGGACATCCCGAGAGCTCCCAGGCTGCCAGAGGGATGTCTGACTGCCAGCTTAGGCCTGATTCCCCAGGGAGCGGGTCTAAGCTGGCACGTGGATCCTTCCCTGCCCCCCATCCGAGTGCATGAATTTTCATGCACTGGGCCTCTAATTAATAAATATATTTCATACTATAAATGAAACAATGATCTATAGTTTACTGAAAACCATCTTACTGGTATTAGATTAAGATCCTTAGTATATACAAGTGGGAAAGAAAAATATCTAAAAATTCTTAACACTCAGCTTACTTAAAATGTGCAATAAATGAGGAAGATTACTTATAAATGTTGCCTGCCTGTCAACCAAGAAATAAAAATATAGTACTAAAATGCAGAATACCATACTTCAGTGTACATTTTTTGCTTTTAATTTTGAATTCTAATGGATTCGTTCCATTTCTGTTCACTTTGTACAAAAATCATTTGTATCTAAATTCAAGTCTGTTTTTTAAAAATAAACCTTATCTACTAAAGTGAAGTGCCAAAAGAAGGGATTTTACAGTAAACTGTGCAGCATCTTGTCAACTTATGTAACTCATATACAACAATTACAAGATAATATTAGATCTATAGAAGTGTTCCCTAAGTTTAAAGAAAAAAGTTAACTATGTTAAATATGTATCTTAGAGTTTTACTCTCCTAAAATTTGTAAAACATCATCTGGGACACCAAAAATATCACCTTAACACTAAAATCCTACTTTCTTCATAGGAGAGATGACAGAATTTAAGGTATTTATTATCCAATGATATGAAAACACTGGTCTTTAATTTGATAAAAAACAATGTTCAAAAATAGAATATGCTAAGATGGCTTTTGTATTGGCAGCAGAAATCTCAGTCAACGGTTTGAATATATTTGGTCAGACTTTATTAAGTTTGGATCAATAACAGAAAAGAAATACATATGGTAGAACCTAAAGATTATCAAAAGAAAATACATTAAAAGGGAATAAAGTTTACTTCTGAAGAAATGGCAGAGTTTAAAATAATTCAAATTATTCATTCTTCAATCTGACTAAATGCTGGATTAAAAGTACATAAAACCTATTTTTCAAATGCCTCACTTTTATTCATTTTATTCTATAGAGACTGAATTAAGGACTAGTTTCCTAACTGCAGAGTGATGTCATAGCTTTACCTGTGTGACATCCAGGAAGAGCACCGATGCCATCAACTGTCGTAGAGCCCTGAACAGTGCCCAGATTATAAACAACTCCCAGAACGTGCAGCTCCCCTATGTGATGGGGAAAGAGCTTTAGTCTGGCCTGCGGAGATATTTAAGTCACTCTCATTATCTGTTTTCACAGTATCTTAAAACAGCATCCTACCTACATTCTGTAATGTTGCAGAAATATAAACCCATGACCTAAACTTTTAAATTATCAACTATATTTGTTATTAGAAGACATTTTCTTCAAAAGAAAGTCTCTAAATTCAACAAAGGCCTGGATCCTCATCAATACTTTTAATAAGAATGAAATCTTCTGGTCAACCAAATATACTGACTGCAAGAAAAAAGCAAAAACTTTTCACCACGCTCCTTAGAAAATTAACTAACCAAAGACCACTGCAAACCTACTTTTCCCACCAATTTCCTCCTGTGCAATCCCAGTATCCTAATCTTCCAAATTTTAGTTTTAAGAAAACCAGGACCTAAAACAAACTGAATAAACTGATTTTTTAGAAAGTTTTCATCTCGCTTTCAGAAAGGCTTAAGACTGAAAAATAATCAAATTACCACTTTAGATTCTTCACTGTTAATTAAGAATTCTGAAATAACTTCAGTTCCAATCATTTCGGGTTCACTTGTTACCTAAAAAATAAATTATTGCGTAAAATATGCATTCTAATAAAGTTATCAATTATTAACATTCCCATGTATCAACACTAAGAACAATAACAATAATTATAGTTAGTATTTACTAGGTTTTTACTAAGTGCTAAGCAATATGCCGTTTTACTCTTACAACGGCAGTAAAGCCATTCAGTAGTGGGCACTTGTTTTTCCCCCCATTTAATTCAGTACAGCTCAACTAAGGACAGTAAGTGAACGTTGCAGCCACCAAGAGGTTAAATCTCAAGAGATAAAATTCAGCTGCTAATTATCAACAATGGCCAAAATGGCCTTTTAATTTAATCTTGCAATAAGAGCAATTTCTTCCTTTCATTCTAACCAGCACCTTTTCCCAAATTGGTTAATAACACATAAGAAAAGTAATGACAGATTCAAAGAAACCAAGATGGCAGCCTAGGTAATGTAAATATATGTGTTGTCCTACTAGCAATGCTGCTAGTGGTTCTCAACCTGTGGGTCACTACTCAGGTTAAGAACTGCTGCTGTAGAGCCTAAGACCATCAGAAAACACAGATATTTACATTATGATTCATTAACAGTAGCAAAATTATAGTTATGAAGTAGCAACAAAAATAATTTTATGATTGGGGGTCATCACAACATGAGGAATTGTATTAAAGGGTCGCATTAGAAAGGTTGAGAACCACTGCCTTAAACAATAAAATAAAATAAATAAAATAAAATAAAATAAAATAAAATAAAATAAAATAAAATAAAATAAAATAAAAATATATAGAGAGCTTATGACATAGTAAAAAAATAAATATAATTCAAACAAAAAGAAATACAACTATAAGAATTTCAACTTTATTACCCATCAAGATGAAATATAAAATACTATAAGATGGCATTTTTTTTACCTATCAAGATTTTTTTTTTTAAATAAGATTTTATGTTACAAAGATGAGATACCAAACCCCATGTTGTGCTGGTGAGAAACTCGGTATAACCTTTTGAGAAACAAATAAAATGTTAAAATATTTATTCCCTAAAATGTTCTAATTCATGCCTAGGAATCTTTCCTACAGAAATAATCATTATAAAAAACACTATGCACCCAAATTTTCACAAATGATTGATAGTAAACAAATGGTAACTTCCAAAATAACTACCAATAGAGAGATGAAATAACTTATAGATCATTCGTATGATGATTATGCACAAATGAAATAGTAGGACATTTTAAAATTACAATTGCAAATAAACCAACAGAGAATGAAAAAACAATATATATGAGAAAAATCCCGTATTTGAGGGGAAAATACAAATGTAAGTTATTGAATATACAGTGAAGTGTTATAGAATGGTTATTTCTCAATACTGAGAAAGACTTTTATTTTTATTCCTTATATTCTTCTGCATTTTCAGTTTTCAAAAGTATTTAACATACTTTCTATAACTAAGGAAAAAAGCCTAAAAGAATAAGTACAGTTCACTAAACAGAGAAGTTAAATGTTTTTACAGCATCTGTTATGCTATCTCTGAAATAAACTTATTACAAATACCTTTTAATAACTTACTAGTTCTTTAACTTCTTCATCGTTCTTTCCACTGGAATCTTTGGGCTGAAACTTCCAGAGCAGTGACAAATTAGTCAACAGAAGTGGAACCTTCAAAGGGTTTCTAAAAGCCACTTCCACTGTTATGGGTTCTATAAAAGAAATGCCTCAGTCAGTACCTTCAATAGTCCTATATCTCATCTTGTGTATAAGTTCTCTGATGACACCTTGTTTCCCAGCTCTGAACTTCTGCCTAGACTATCCTTTATCAACCTGTAAATGCAGTTTTAGAACTGCCTCCTCAGAAGCAGCGCCTCCGTTTCTCCGTACTAGAGACGGCGTTCTCACCGCACTTTGCATTCACCTACATTAGGGCCCCACCGCCTGCTTTTATAAATGCAGCTCACTAACTTCTGAGTTCCTGACTTATTTTTGCATCCTCAGCTTCTGGTGGCTTGGGGCATACAAAACATTACATTGTATGTAAAACAAACAAAAAACCATGTGTAAAAATTCCAGTATATCACCTTCTACTACTGCAAGGGGGAATCTTGAGTTATCTGAAAAACTATTCAAACAGTATTGCGTGGGATGGAAATTGGGTGGAATTACTCCTTTGTTAACCAAGGCCACAACTTGTTCCTCAAGTTCTCGCCACTGCTGAGAGGATTCATTGTCATATTCTTGATCAAGACTTATATGAGTAGCTGCTTGCTTTTCACCTAAAAAAAATAAGTATCAAAATTAAGTATACATGCTTATTACTAACTACACACAAATGAAACACTTTAAATAAAAATCTAAGTTATCCAAAGAAATACATATACACACCCACTCTTGCCTATTTCCAATTATCCAAGAGAAAAAAATACCCTCTTATTAACCCTCGCCTCTCTGGAACTCTGCTGGTCTTTTCCTCCTGACTTGAAAGGATATAGTTTCTCTTGTCTTCCACAGCAACTTTATATAAAATACTTCCAACATACAAAAACAAACCACCACCCATGAAGAATAATGTAACAATAATTGTATATCAAAATCTAACAAAAGTACTGTTTTCATATAGTCCCACAATTATTTTTTTTATAAAATAAATGTTACAGATCTGTGAAACGCTTTTCAACCCTTCATCTCCACTGGCACCACTTCTCCCGGAGTTACTCCAGAGCAGTACAGCATCTTCATCCTCTTTTTGTTATTTTTTTATATACTTTACCATTTAAGGATATATACTAAACAATGCATAGGATTGGTTTTGTTTGAAATACGTAAATGAAATTATATTTGATCTATCATTCTAACTTTTTTCACTCAGCCTTTTGATTTAATTATTACATACATTGAAACATGTAGAACTACATGTTTCCTTTATGTTCACTCATGTTCTACAACATGAATCCTTTATATGAAAATATCAGAATCTGTCAACTCATGTGCTACTATTGTTTTATTTTGGGGTATAAAAAAAACAATGCTGTTATAAATACTTTTCTTTTTTTTAATATTTTATTGATTTTGTACAGAGAGGAAGGGAGAGAGATAGAGAGTTAGAAACATCGATGAGAGAGAGTCATCGATCAGCTGCCTCTTGCACACCTACTGGGAATATGCCCGCAACCAAGATACATGCCCCTGACCGGAATCGAACCCGGGATGCTTCAGTCCCCAAGCCGACGCTCTATCCATTGAGCCAAATTGGTTTCGGCTATTATAAATACTTTTAAAATAAAACACTAAATTAGCTCAAGAAATATAAGCACAAATATAGGACTGCTTAGAATTACTTTAACATGCATAATATTTATAATTTTGGCCCAATCCTAAGGAAAAATTCTGTATTTTAAAAAGCCTTACAACAAGAACAGAATAGGGGCAACTGTTCTGTATTTCTATGTACATTTCAAAACTTCCATAATAAAAAGTTAAGAAAACAAGTTTTATTCATAAAGATGACTCTTACAACATAATTTTATATTTAAAAAAAAGATGGAAACAACCAAATTATATAACAAGCAAATGTGAAAATAAAGTAATTTTAGGCACTGAACATAATATATTACAGCCATTAAAGATGCTTATCAAGATTATGTAATTTCGCCGGGACCGGTTTGGCTCAATGGATAGAGCGTCGGCTTGGGGACTGAAGGGTCCCGGGTTCGATTCCAGTCAAGGGCATGTACCTTGGTTGCGGGCATATCCCCAGTGGGGAGTGTGCAAGAGGCAGCTGATCGATGATTCTCTCTCATCGATGTTTCTAACTCTCTCTCTCCCTTCCTCTCTGTATAAAATCAATAAAATATATTTTAAAAAAAAGATTATATAATTTCAGGAGCATTCTTTATATAAGAAAGCAATTATAATTATAGCTATTTACTTGTTAGTTTTTAGTTTAGGGCTAAGAAAAAGCAATGTAATAGTGATTAGTATCTTCAGATGGCAGGAAGATAGGTCTTGTGGTATAGAATTATTTATTTTTCAAATATTCTTTAACAATAACACACCAGTTTAAGTGGAGAGAGGAAAGAACTTTAAAAAAACAGTCACTAGGAAACAAGGCCAGAAAACGGTTACTAACCATCTGCTGGTCGTCTGTCGTGGCCAAAGAAAACCCGGGTTGCAGAACTGTTAATATACGGCAAAGGAAGCTGCGGCAAGGGCCCGTCTGGTGACAGCTGACTTACATTCTAAGAGAAACACAAAAGAAACAAAGAAGAATTTCTGAGAAAACTCCAATTTCTTTATACTTGCTTCCCCATTTGTATTGGTGTTGTAAATCCTCATCTGAGGATCTATGTTTTCCATAGCTTTTCCAGAGTGTAGAAGGGAGAGAGGGAGGGGAGACGACAGAAACATCAATGTGAGAGGCATGTTGGTTGGTTGCCTGAAGGGAACCAACAACCCAGGTACATGCCCTTGACTGGGAATCGAACCCAAGACCCTTCAGCTCACAGGCCAACATTCTAACCATTAAGGGACACCAGCCAGGGCTGCTTTTCCATTTTTTAATACACAAGATATTAAAAACATGCTAAGCAAAAATATTAACATAAAGAGTTACTAGTTTTACTTAATAGATCAGAGTTATAAAATTTAGAGATCATTTATTCTGGCCCAAGAAAGTCTTTCTAAGATTATTCAGCTAGTTAGCTCTCTTTGGATGCTAAACTTCCAAACATTATCTTGGTATGCATTTTACTTCTTGTGACTCATTACAGCATCCAATCTGCCAAGATTTTAATCCACATGATTTCAAATTAATAAAGCATAAAAGGTAGTTACTTCCTACAGGACAGAAATACAATAGTATTCACTCTTCAAAGGACTTTACAAAAAATTACAATTTCCAATTTTCCCCATAAAACAATGCTTTACATTTCCTGTCCTCCTGTGCCAGGGAAATATTTTTCCTTCCATTTTTCTGGATTACACCATAACAATTTGTCTACTTCCCACAAACCCATACCTCCTCATTTTTCATAGCGAAAATAGAGGACCCAATATGTTATAAAATCAATTATGATTTTTTAAATACCCAAAAGCATAATAATGACACAGTCCAGAAAACATGTAATTTCTTCAAGATTCTAAAAACAGCCACAAATAAAATATATACTGGAATATTAAAATTCTCTTTCACCTTAGCTGGTTTGGCTCAGTGGACAGAGTGTCAACCTACAGAAAGGGTCTCAGATTTGATTCACAGTCAGGGCACTGCCCGGGTTTCAAGCTCATTCACAGTAGGGAGCATGCTGGAGACAGCCAATGTTTTAAAGAACTCTGGAAGAGCAATGTAACTCCAATCTATGACCACAAACCAGCTTGGCACACTTTATTATAAAAGATAATTACATATATACTAGAGCAGCGGTTGCCAACCTTTCAGACCTCATGGACCAACAGTGGTTCCGCAGACCACTGGTTGGTGACCACTGTACTAGAGGCCTGGTGCACGAATTCGTGCACAGGTGGGGTCCCTCGGCCTGATCGGGGCTGGCCAGCCACAGGGAAGGGACCACGGGAGGTTGGCTGTAATAGCGCCATCAGGGGGCAACTCCTGCATCGAATGTCTGCCCCCTGGTGATAGTGTGCATCATGGTGACCGGTGTAATGGTCACTTAAGCTTTTATATATATAGATATTCTAATAAAACTTTGTTAGACTCCTGCTCGATAGTACTAAATATTAGCCTTTTTGCTAAAAATGATTAAACTTTAATATCTACTCCAGAAACTATGTATTCACCTTGTAAACATAAAGGTATTCTCTGAGGAAGGACCCTTGCTGAGCCGCAGATTGTTTACTTTCGTTGATTAGAATGTGCCTGAAAGCAGACACAGCATTGTCCAGCTGCCTCAGAGTGTAGGACTGGCGCCCAATGGTGAAGTTAATGTGATCCTCTGCAAGAGACCAGCCTTTTCCTTTGTACACTTGCATGGCTTGGCAATAGCAGCGTAAAGCATGCTTTTTCTGTAAGAAAATAAACACAACAAGGTATTACACAACAAATCCAAATTTCTCTGGGACTGAAAAAAAATAATGCATACACACACACAATCAAGTAACTAGTAACTGGTCCTTCCACGGCTCGGATTCTGAGGAATATAAACCAATGTTTTGGAAAACCTCTTTAACAATTACTACTTAAAACCAAGAGGTCCTCCAGCAAGCAGCTGTTTGTCCAAGGGCAAGAAGTGTAAAAGTCAGGAACATCGATGCCCTCATGAAAGCCACCTGGGCATGCCCACAGCAGTAGCTACGGGAGGTATGGGGCAGGTGTCCTCAAACTTTTTAAAGTGGGGGCCAGATCACGGTCCCTCAGAGAGCTGGAGGGCCGGACTATATGAACTACTAATTCCTACTGTAACACCTCGGCTGCGCTCACTGCCCAAAAAACCTGGCGGGCCGGATCAGACTCCTCTGTGGGCCGCATGTGGCCCGCGGGCCGTAGTTTGAAGACCCCTGGGAGGCTTGTTAGCTTATGAACGAGAGCGATCTTATAAAGTCTGTTTTGTTATGCATCTCTCTTTATACCACTGCGTTGGGCTGAATGGAAATACTCCATGTGTGCTAAAACTGCATGTGTGAGTATATGGTTGTATACACACACATTTTTAAAGTACTATTTTGTTTGTTTGGTATTATTTCCACTTGCCCCCTGCATCTTGCCACATATGAGCAGATACTTGGAATTAATCAGCTATAATCACTACCACCTGTTGAACTGAGATAACTTTCTTCCTAAAGGTGAAATCTGGTACCAAGGAAAGGCCTCCCTCCACAAAACCTTTTGCTTCAGAGAATACTCTTTTATCCACTCCCCATCCCAGGGTAGATTACAAACTTTGCACCATGTATTGCCAGAATCGTTTGTTTCTTTAAGAAATGTTTTCTCTATAAAAAGATAATGAAAGCAAATCACAGTCATCTACCACTTGACAGCATGCGGAGAATCACCATCTAACTGCTGGTACCACTATCTCCAGCAAAGCTCCCTCTAACTAATGCTTGAATGGACCTAGGAACTAATTAAGGTCTCTCCAACTCAACTGCTTCTGGGAACAAAGACGACTTGTACTCATTTACTGCTCAGTAAATGCCATCAGAAAGCAGCCTGGGAGACAACAGAAGAGCAGAGCTGAAGTGGAGAAGGTTCAACTCTACTAAATAGTAAATACTGTTGGAATGCATTCCTTGTATCTGGATTTTCACATATATGATTTGGTTTAGCCGTACAAAAAATTGGGGCAAAATTCCAATTTTTTTTTTATTAAAAAAAGAGACTCAGAAAAATTGCTCTACCAAAGTCAAGTTGTAAGCAGAACATCATATTTTTTTCACTGTATTCCCCCATTCAATCTTGGCTGCCACAGTCAGACAGACAGAAAGCGCGAGGACCCTTTTTTTCTTGCATCTGCACTGGAACCTTGGCAGCAACAGTAACTGCTCCAGGTCTGTCAAATAGATGCACAGAATTTCAAGACTGAATCCCAGATTTCTCTAAATCTAAACCCCATGCTCTTATCAACATAAAACATTACACATTACCTTGAAACAAAATGAATATCAGTCTTTAGGATTAATATTAAGTCATAAAATATTGACAAATGACATACATTTATAAAATAAATAGCAACTTATAACAAATAAAAACTAATGTTATTTTCTTTGTAAAGAAAATGCACTCACCTGCCCGGCTTTACTAAAGCGATGGCCGGCCAGTATCATGTGAAAGGCGTACTTTCTAACCATGGGACTCTTCATGTTTATGAAGCAGTGAGCGGCCTGTTCCAAAAGAAGTGCACTTCGAAGGTCAGAGTCCTGTTGAAGGTTTAAGAGAAAAGGTGAGTTTCACAAAATTAAAAATAAGATAATAGGTGGAAAACATTTACTTTCTTACTATGTAACATATTCAATATTTAACTCAAGAGTATCTGAGGGCAGAGAGCAATTGAGTAATCCAATCCTGATCATTCTTTTTTCCAATAAGCACGTTAAAAAAATAAAATCCTTCAGAAAACACTCTACCATGAAGTATTTTCTTTTGCTTTTCATAAAGCCACATGCCTGTTATGACATACACCACATCTCTGAAGAAATGCAATCCCTTTTCAAATGGCAAAATAGTATGTAAACTAAGAATTTAATACAGATATACTGATAAATGATAAACCAGAAAACAGAGCACACACAAACACACAAAAATAGATTCACACCAATCTAATTTCTTCTGGAAATTGATCTGTGACATCCAATAGTGTATTTCCACCCAAAAAAAAAAAGGGGGGGGGGAGACGGGGTTTTAGAATAAAACAGAATGTGTAAATTATAAAATAATTTAAACTATTACTTTCTCCTCCATGAAGTTTTACTGTATTTGAAAAAAATTCTTAATTTTTAATGTAATTCAAGTAGGCCAAAATTAGCTCCTTCATTAAAAAGTTCAGAAGGCTTCCCCTTCAAGGAGTATTGCCTGCTATATTAATAAATGGTACAACTCAAATTATTTCTGCTTCAACTGAATCGTACAACAGTGTCTACAAAAACCACATACTGCACGTACATCCTTATCCATAAGAAAAATCTTAAACTGAAAGAGCCACCATTACTTTCAAAATCACTGAGAAAGTACTGAAGGTTGCTGATCAAGTACCAACAACATTTTCACCAAATTTTCTCTAGGTTCCAGCTACTCTGACGCAGAACTTACCATGCCCTTCCACGTGTTCTGCTGCCATTATTTTCCCCAGGGAAAGTTGAAAACAGAAAACATTGACTTTAAATGAAATCATTTCAACAGATTATAGTTACATCAAAAAGTATTCAGACACTATTATAACTATCTCTGCAGCAATCATAAAATTATATTAGAGTTGGAACAGATCTGAGGAAATACTCCAGAAAGCATTCAGTAAATGCTTCATCTATTTCAAATTATCTATTTCAAATCCCTCAGAACAAAAACTAAAAACTCAGATAATTTTTCTAGTAACTAAGAGCCAAAGGCTAGTAAGTGAGAAAATTAGGAATATACACTTAACAAGTGGTTCTATATCAATGCATCAGAATTACCATGGGGGGTGGTAGGGGAAGAGGCTAGGAAGCTTACATCTTCATTTTCTTAGGACAATATAGATATATTTTTAAAATTAATATACTTGTTTTTCCTTAAAGACTAAATGTTTGAGGAAAAAAAGTAAACATCTTTCTTTTCCGTCCCATGCCTCATCCAATTTGCCAGTTTAGAGTGGTGTTGTGTTACATGTGTGCTTATATGTTAGTTTTTTAAAAATACACACTTTTCTATGCATAAATGATATTAGAGTATTCTTTATTTTGCTTTTTAAATTTATTATCATGGACATCTTCCCAAGACATCTACATATCTCACTTCTTTTAAAACTACCTTGGTATTCCATTTCACAAATATACCCTAATCTATTAACAGTCTCCAATTGATTTATTATTGCTTCAAAATTTTCTAACTATAATAAAAAAAAAATGCTTCAATAAACATCTTTCTAGCCCTAGCTGGTTTGGTTCAGTGAATATAGTGCTGTTGGCCTAAGACTGGAGGGTGCTGGGTTCAATTCTGGGCAAGGGCACATGTCTGGGGTGAGGATTTGATCGCCAGTAGGGGGCATGCAAGAGGCAGCCAATCAATGAGTTTCTCTCATATGATGTTTCTGTCTCCCTCTCCTTTCCTCTGTGAAATCAATAAAAATATATTTAAAAAAACCCAAACATCTTTCTAAACAAACGTTACTAGTTATACAAATACAGGTGCACGAATTCGTGCATGGGTGGGGTCCCTCAGCCTGGCCGGAGATGAGGGCCCTCTCGCCCAGTGGCAATTGACCAGCTGGACCCCAGCAGCAAGCTAACTTACAGGTCAGAGCATCTGCCCCCTGGTGGTCAGTGCGTGTCATAGTGACCGGTCAAGCAATGGACTGAAAGGTGGTTAACCAATAGGTTGGACACTTAGCATATTACACTTTTATCGTATAGGAATTTTATTAGACAAATTTTTGGAAATATAACTGCTGACTTAATGAAAGCTATGTTTATACTTCAAATTCTAATCAAGATAAACTGCTACAAAAAGAAGTACTGATATATACTCTTGTCAACAGAGAATGAGTATATATTTTCTTTACTCAGCCCAAGATAATTTTTAAATGTTTATTTCTTTAATAAAAGAAAAATTACTCTTTCTCAACATACATTTTTTAACAGGAGGCTGTTAATCTTTTCCTATGTTCAAAGGTCTTTGTACTTTTTTTGTGAATTGCCTGTTTATACTCTTTTGTGAATGGGTTTTTGTGATTACTATGTGGTTTGTAAGAGCCCTTTGTACACTTAATCAGCATCAAGCCATTATCATACATTTGCAAATAGTAGTTTCCAATTCTGACAGGAAAGAGTTATTCTTTAGTAGTCAAGCATATTATATTTGCCTTTGTTTTCAGGATACTGCATCAAACTGGGAAAGGATGTTATTCCTAGATTTTTAAAATGCTCTTCTATTATTTTCTTCTAGTATTTTTTTGTTTTATTTTTCACATTATAATTAATCCAGCTATAGTTAATATTATCATGTAATGAATAATCCAACCCCAAACAGCTAGCTATAAGCCCCAATAGCATTCAGTTAATTATCTAACACTCTTCACTAAATTAAATGACACCTAAACATATGTATTTAAATTCTCATCCCATCCCATTACTCTGTCTACTCTGATCACTGTAAATAGTTTTAACATCGATAGCCTTCTAATACATTTTAATAAGCAGAACAGGTACTTCCCTCTAATTACTTTTTCTACTTTGGAACTTTATTTATTTAGACTTCTCAATAGAGTTTCAGTTTTTTCTCTCAGTCCTATATTTTTCTTAAGTTTATTCCTAGCATGCGTGTACACATAACATTCAAACACACACACTCAGAATAAATACATATTTTTAAATTGCCAGAGAAAACTTCATTAAATTGCAAAATTTGGATGGGCAGCAATCTGGACATGCTGATTACCATAAGGATATGCCATAGGTATCTTGGATAGTGTGTAAATGACTCTAATATACAATCCAGATGAGAATTAGCACAGTAAACCCTCAGCATTCTCAAACTTAACCCTCAAGGCTGACCAATGTAGGAGACCTGGAAGCCCATGGCATGTATTAATTTAGCTGAAACAAAGTTTGACTCTTGTATCCAGGAAAGTGTTGTCCGAGAAAGCATGGACTTTCAGGTCTGAAAAACTACATTCCTATCTCACTGCAGTTTAGTTCTGTTAGCCCATCTCTTTCAGTGACGCCTCAAGTAGAAAAATCACTGCTTTGAAACACACAGAGAAAGCCCTGAAAAGAATGACAATTGCCATGGATGTTTCTGAAAGGAAAATGAAAGAATTTTAGTGTTATTTTTTTTTTAGAGAGAACCTATAAATGAGTTGAAGAAAAATATTTTATTTTCTGTAGTTCATTATATGACAATCCTATTATATATACTAAAGGAACTAAGTGGGGGGGGGGGGGGGGGGGAGAGGAAGAAAGCCTGTGATGCCACTTTAACAAAAACTCTAGCCTATGAACTTTGCCCACAATCAAGAGATAATTTTCACAAAAACTGAAAGGGCAATGTTAAATTATGAGGATATATATAGGGGAAATCATCTAAGCTAGAGGTGTGAATAAACACTCCACCAGCTGCTATACAGGCTTTACTGAAATCAGCTCCCAAGGATGGCTTAAGGTTTTTTTCTTCACACAATTGTGAGGTAACCAAGAAAGGTGCTACCAGCTGATCAATTTAGCACTGGGCGGTTCCTTCCAAGCCGGAGAGATTTATAATAAATGTTGCTACTTCTCCCTGGGAAACTGAGGTAATGTCTTTAGATACAGGAGTAGGCAAAAAGAGCTTTAAGACTAGAATAAACGTCCAACACAGAAACGCAGACACAGCAGAGGAAAAGCACCCTTCTTAAGCAGCAATGCAGGCCACTCTCCTGTGGTGGTGAGCGCAGCACGCTGTGTCACTGAGCGGGGACGCGCTGCCACGCCGAGAACACAGGTGTGTATGCGACCCCCTGCCCGGCCACTCGCAGTCCAAACACAAAGTCCCAGCACAGCTCCTCGCCCAGCTGCACAGCTGTCTTCTGCTCTAATGGGATTAGCGAAACCTCTCCAGCACAACTCATAAACGTCAAGAGTTATGTAATGCAGTTCCCTGTCCTTAAGACGAACCAACTTTCTGATATTATGCAGCCCTCCTAGGTTAATGAAATACGTACGATAACCACAAATTATTAGTTAAAATTTAACGTAACTTTATATACAATATGTTTACAAGTCTTTACTTTCAAATTGCCTCAAAGAAATACCTGAAAGGTACAGCAGAAAAGGCCAGAGAATCACAATTCCTGAAGAAATAAACACCACACATCACCCCAAAATAGTAAATAACAATGATAAATTTGCTAGAATTTATGACAAAATAAATCACCCAAGTTTGAAAAAGGAGAAAGCAAAAAGATGGGAAAGAAAAGAGAACAAGGTTACAACGCATACTGAAGAATTTGCTCTAAAAAAATTTTATTCAAGCTCCTAAACCATAAATTCCTTTAATATTCACTGAGGATCCCGAGGTTGAAAACAGCAGCAGCGTATTCAAACCCAAGTTAAGCATGCTTATTATAATACAGAACATCAACACACTCAGGAGCCCGTACTCAGCTCTGTCAAATGGTTTATGTCTGGCAACAGTTCACATTGGTCAGTGTTCATGCGGAATCCATTATTAAACATTTTTAATATCATCTCTTAACCTAATTAGTGACATCATTCAGAAACCTTTTGAGAACAATTAAGGTTCGATTCAACAAACATCTGTAAATCATATACCACGGGCCAAGCCCTGTGTTGGGCACTAAGGATAACCATGAAGGCAGCACAGTCCCTACTTTACAAAGCTCACAGCTTAAATGGAATCTGACACGTCAGGTCTCACAGCCGTAAGAGAGGGCGTGACAGAGACACTTAGGACAACCGGGTGTGCTGCGATGACTGTATGAAGGGCATAACAGGAAAAGGGCCAGGAGAAGGACATTAAGGAGATGAAATAAGACATTAGGAGGGATTTTTTTTTTTTAAAGGAGAAGTATAATGTTTGGATATAAAAAAAACATATTTAAGAAGTTAACCACTCCCCACCCCCACCCCCAATTGTGTAACTGAGAGGTAAGAGAACATCTCAACTAGTTTCAAAACCTTGAGCAAATGAGGAGCTACCTGGTTATGAAAATTTAAGATCACAATCAATAAGGTAAGCAAGTTTATGTGGTTACTCACTGATATGTCAACTTAAAGACAGGTCTAAAAGGTAGTTGGCCACACAAATCTAAAACTCAAGAAGACAGGGCTGGAGACAGATTTGAGAGTGAAAATCCTGCCTATGAACAAATTACCCCCAAAATATGTAGAGTGAAAAGTACAGAATGGTCCAAAAAGTAAAATTATAGTGTAGAGCCCTGGCCGGGTGGCTCAGTTGATTGCAGCATCATCCCATATACCAGGTGACTGGTTCAATCCCCAGTAGGTGAACAATTGATGGACGGTTCTCTCTCACAATGATGTTTCTCTCCCTCTCTTTCTTACTCTCTCCCTCCCTCTTACTTCTTCTCTCTCTAAAAATCAATAAAACATATCCTCAGGTGATAATAAAGAAATAAGTAAAATAAATAAATAAAGCCATAGTGTACATTACATCAAAATTTAAGGAACAAAGGAGGTGTTTGATTTTGTTCTGTTCTTAAGCACGTTCATCTAAAAAATGTGTCTTTAACCATACTTTTAAAGAAATCACTATCATTCTTTACAAGTCTGTAGGCAATGCAACTTAATAATGTTATAAATCTTTAATGGCAACTATAAATGGATTACTTTTTCTCTTTTGAAATATTCATATAGATTTTTTTAATGCTTATGGTGATGTTTTTAAAGGTCATACTACTAAAATAAGATTAAATATTCCTGAGTGATCACTCTTGTAAGTATCAATTTTACATGGGGAATGGCGCACACACTTGTTAAATTGTTGTTATGCATGGGTCACAACCTAATTCACAGAAGATGTACAACACGTTTGTGGTTAATAATGATGTAGACTTACATCTATAAATAAAATCAGTCTACAAAATATTGCATATAAAATTTATTCAAATAACTAAAATAGCCATGTTATAAATTCCCAGAGAGAGATTCCCCTCTAATTGTTGTGTGCACCCTCAAAAAAAAAAAAAAAAAAAAAAGAAAAAAAAGAAGGGGGGGACTTTCTAAAAATTATAAAATAACACTAATTAAAACAAATACTACAGTTTCAGTACCTCACTGGTTAGCCGTATTAGAAGAGCTGCAGCCTCTGAATATTTGCTTTGGCTTTTTAAGATTTCAGCGCTAAGTAATACACATCTTTCAGCCAATACCATATTCCTAAAAAAAAAAGAAAGAAAGAAAGATATAATTAGCACTACATTATCTTTATACATCAGAGTAACTATGTGTTCAACAAAAGTTTCCAATTCTAGTTTTCAAGCAAAAAGAAATCCATGTCCTTGTTTTCCACTTAACAAAAAAGTTAAAAAATAAACACTCCTAAGAATTCTCATAACTATTCAAAGCTTTTCGTCATATGATTTTGTGGTAAAAATACTAAGTAAAGTCACAATTCAGGTGTGCAAAAAGCTAGGATTTATCTGGTATCTGTACACCGGCAGCTATTTAACAAATAAAACTTGCTCTGGACAGAAATGAACCCAAACTTCTCACTCTTCATTCTGGCTCCTTTGCTACCTCACTCTGCCAGCTCTTTTTCACAGTCTCCTTCAACCCTTCCTCTCACAGAAAGCTGTATCTCCTGCCAGAATCTCAAAATCCATCTCAAATAGATTACATAAGGTATGATAGGTAAAATTCAGTATGGACTCCACCACTTACTAGCTGTGTGCCCTTGGGCAAGTGAAACTCTTAAGTTTCAGTCTTCTCATCCGTGAAGTACAGATAATAATAATACCATTTTATAGGCTTCAGATTAAATGAGCATGTAAACTATTTTGGCATAGTAGCAAATGCTGAACACTCAATAAATGTCAATTATTATTATTAGTATTGTGCTGTAATTATAATACCGTAACTAGTACTTATACTTCAACAACATTATAAGACAACCCATGCATGCTACATAGAAAAGTCAGATTAATCTTCCTGAAAAACAGCTTTTATCATGTCAAGGCTGTCCTCAAATATTCAGTAACATCCATTTACTACTACTTAATTCTCACCTTCAACCTAAGTAAGAGAGGGATGAGGCTCCCCACACTGATTTCTCTCACGCCATCTTTCCACAGGCAGCACCCAATGCTTCTCTTCTCTGAAACCCCTGCCCTCGCCACAGCTCTACTCCCTTTCTCTCGGTAGGCAGCACCCAAATCACCGTTCCCAACAATCACAGTTTCTGACTTGTCTATACGTCCATCAAATCCAACCACCTTTCTTTCAAGGCATTCCCCAAACATGCCATGAAGCGCCCTGCCTTCTTCTGGACCAGCTCATTGTCCCATTAAAGCAATGAGTTCCAACAGTTCTTACCATGTGTACAAACATTTCTCATTTCCGTCCCTGGACTATTATTTGCTTGTGTGTTGCCTATTTAACAATGAAAGTTCAAAATGGCTAACTCCTGATTTAATAGTGGTTAAGGTGAGATGTTCCCATAATATAAATCACCCTCAATATAACATGTAACCTCAACATTACATATAACAAGTTCCTACCTAAGCACAAATCCAAATAAAATAGGAAACGCTAGTTTTAGATTACATCTTGTCTCTGACTATATTAACTTTCATAGAAACACAGAACCACTCATCTTCAGTAACAATGTAAATGCCAACTTCCTTCTAGCTGGAAAGAACATAAATATTTAGTCACTTACTTGCAGATATCCCGGTATGTCTGGATGGCTGTGTCCATGTAATGTGCGGGGTATGGCCTCGCTGCCCCTTGCTGAAGAAAAGCTGACACTGCTGCCATTTCCTGGAGGAGAAGACATTATTTACACTATTTCAAAATGCTTGTGGCTCAGCACTCAGGAAGCTTGAAAACTGGAATGAAATTTGATTTTTTATACATGTACATGCACAAATTTTATAGCCTAACACTGACTTGGAAAATATACTTGAAGCTTTTAAATTTTAAATTCTCTAGTCAAATGCCAAAGTCTGTTATTCAATATTTAAATGAGATTTGGGGGGAAAGAAGAAGAAATGAGATTCTGAAGAAGACTCAGTGAACGCTTTTGAGTGAGGGCGTATATACCTATCACGTGAGTCTAGCTGAAGGTTTCAGCTACCATCTCCTCCCTATTATTCCCCTTTTCTAAGTAGAGAACAGACCAATGATAGGAGCATACAGAGACAAAATAAAATACATCTCTTTCCAATTATTGGCATCAAAATATGAAGAACAGAGTTCACAACAGCTTGCACTATATATATTTTCAATTATTTTCACTCTAGTTTATATCCTTACCCTAACAAAAGGTACAAGGACCATTTCTAAGATGTATGTTACTGTCAGTTTTCCAATTATTTCATTTTCAAAGCCCATTTTCTTGTTAATGTCTATAACTGTAGTTCATTAATTCAAATAATATTTAATGGTGCTAAAAGACTAAGAAATAAAGATTAAAATACAGGTTTTGTTTTCTTAGAATATCCTACTATGTCCAAAATTGCTTTAATCCTCACCTAAGGATATGTTTCCATGGCTTTTTAGAGAGGAAGGGAGAAATAGAAGAAGGCGGGAAGGTGTGAAGGAGAAAAGGTAGGGAGGGAGAGAAACATCCACGTAAGAAAGGAACATCTATCAGCTGCCTCCTGTACACTCCCCGCCTGAGGATGGAGCCCACCACCTTTTGGTATACAGGACGATGCTCCAACCAACGGAGCCTCCTGGCCAGGACTTAATAAAAACTTAACTAGAAATACATGAAATTTTCATAAGTTAAAAAGGAAAAAATAATAATGCCAATCTACTTTTAGGATATATTCCTCTGCAACATTTTCTAAAACATACACAAAAATAAATTAATTACCTAGAAACTGGGATGTGATTAAAGCTGTTAACCTCACAGACTAGGATTTCCATGACAATATGAACTGTATGTTTCAAAGTACCTCTGTATCCTTAGCACCCGGAAGTGCCTGCTCCAAAATTTAGTTAATAAACCAAATAAAACTGTCATAATCATGTGACAAAAAATCTACAACTCTGCCGAAACCGGTGTGGCTCAGTGGATAGAGCGTCGGTCTGCGGACTGCAAGGTCCCAGGTTCAATTCCGGTCAAGAGCAGGTACCTTGGCTGCGGGCACATTCCCGGTGGGGGTATGCAGGGGGGCGGCTGGTTTCTGGCTCGCTCGCTCTCTCTCTCTCTCTCTCTCTCTCTTCCTCTCTGTAAAAAAATCAATAAAATATGTATTTTTTTAAAAATCTACAACTCTGAAACATTTTAACTAGTTTATATATTAATATAAATAATGAATTTACACAGTTCTATGCTGCATAAAAATATCAAATATATTAACTATGTAGGATAATACTAAATTTTACAAAAATACATACTTGCTATTCGTGTTTTTGCCTGCGTTCCAGTTACAGAGACACATGTTTTAGGAGGACTGTCCCAACATTATTTTCCCCCAATGCCCATTACTTTTAGGGCAGTACAAGGATTTTTACACATGCATACATTATGTATAGCCGGTAGGCCTTTATTTCCCAGTGCTGAACTACTTTCTCTTACATAGCTACTATTATATCGTCATCCAAATGGCTTAAATGCAGTATTTATCATACTACAGATAAAAAATGGAAAAACTTCAGTGCCATAAAATCGTAAATGTTTGCCATCTCAGATGATTTTACCTCCAAACAAACATTAATTTTGCAGGAATATTATGTAAAATTTAATAACTGTAAATTTAAACCTATGTTGTAAGATATTAATGAAATGACATTCAGTATGTGTGATTTCATTATTAGCTTACATTAGATGATTGTAATAGAAAAAACAGAGAATGTCTAACCAAGAACAGTTCATATCATTTTTTAAAACACTTGAACATGAAAATTTTCTATTCCTGAACAAGTTGGTCAAAAAGTTAGTTGACTTTTTCAATTAAAATATTACAGAAATAAGAGGAAAGAGTGATATAATTTTGCTATTTTAGCTTCACATTTTTAAATTACCCATTTTAATTTTATATATACATAGCATTTAAAAAATAGAAGCAATTAGCCAAAACCAGTTTGGCTCAGTGGTAGAGCATCGGTCTGCGGACTGAAAGGTTCCAAGTTCGATTCCGGTCAAGGGCATGAACTTTGGTTGCGGGCACATCCCCATAGGGGGTGTGCAAGAGGCAGCTGGTCTATGTTTCTCTCTCATTGACGCTTCTAGCTCTCTATCTCTCTCCCTTCCTCCTCTCTGTAAAATATCAATAAAATATGTATTTTTTTTTAAATAGAAGCAATTAAAAAAGTGTCTACATGATAATGACCCAATGGAGTATTTTGAGTTCTTATACAGTTTGTTCTTCACACTTTTGTTTGTAAGCTTACATGTTTTATTTTTTTTAATTAATATATTTTATTGATTTTGTACAGAGAGGAAGGGAGAGAGATAGAGAGCTAGAAACATCGATGAGAGTCATCGATCAGCTGCCTCTTGCACATCCCCCACTGGGGATATGCTGGGGATATGCCTGCAACCAAGGTACATGCCCTTGACCAGAATCGAACCCTGGTCCCTTCATTCCCCAAGCCGATGCTCTATCCATTGAGCCAAACCAGTTTCGGCTGTAAGCTTACATGTTTTAAAGAAGATTATGTAGAAAGTAACAATACTAATTTTACTCTTTTCTAGGCACAGGAAGCAAATTTATATATATATATATATATATATATATATATATATATATATATATATATATATATATAAATAAAACAACTTTTCAAAAATACTAAAAGGTGATAAAAAGTATAGAAAATTCTTTCTAAAACACCTAAGTTTACACACCAATTACTGACATTGTACCATAGATGGTACAATGCTGACAACTTATTACATACAAGGAGATATGCTAAACACGTTACATGCCTTATACCAGTGTTTTTCAACCTTTTTTGGGCAAAGGCACACTTGTTTCATGAAAAAAATCACGAGGCACACCACCATTAGAAAATGTTAAAAAATTTAAATCTGTGCCTATATTGACTATATATAAAGTAATTCTCTTGAATAGGAATCAAATAAACACAAAGAAAGTATTTTATAATTACTTTATTATGAAATATTAAGTAAACAAAATAGTGAAAAATTATAAAATTCTTGTCTTGTCTGCACCTACGGCACACCAGGCAACATCTCTGGAACAGCGGTTGAAAAACGCTGCCTTATACCGTATTGAATCCTGTGCCATTAGGATTCATATTTTATAGACAAGAAAACCGAAGCTTATAAACACTTAGTAATTTTCGTAAAGAACAGTCTGTCTCACATCAAAGTACATGTTCTTAACCAATTTATAGCCTTACATCAGGAAAATAAAACATTTCAAGCAATTTTAAAAGACTATTCAAGAAGTACAAAAAAAAAGCACATCTTCAAAAAAAAAAAAAAGTAAACTTTACACTTTGAATATTGTAACTGAAATTGGAATCGAATTTTGAAAACATACAGAAAAATTAGATGTTAATCAAAACTAAGAAATCAATCTTTACATACTACCATGTTTAAAAGCACTAGCTTGAGGAAAATCCATCAATTCAGCTAAACTAATTCAAAACCTAGTATAAAGCATTGTGTGCTCTTTGAACACAACTTCATCCCTAGGTACTTTGTCTGCCGTTTCATCAGCAGAAATGTCTACGTCTTAAGGTAGCCGAGATAAATTACATAGAATACCAACCAAGGCACCAGCTGCATAAAGCATGGCTTGATCATTAAGAAAATCCTTCTTTGCAGTATGATAGCAACTGTAAGCCAGATCATAATGCTGCACCAAGAAACATAAGTCAGCCATTTTCCTAATTTGAAGCTCTGGTGCTTCTGGTGGATACCTGAAAATACAAAATATGGATAGAAAGTATTTTGTGATTTATGACCCATATACCACTACGTATTATCAAATATTTAACAGCTGCTTAACTGCCCAGAACATTGTGAAAACCAATCATGTTTTACAAAAATCCTATCTCCAAGGAAAGAATGTCATGTTTCAAAGATATCTGGAACTATAGTTATATCTATATTTAAATAATATATACCCCTATAGAGAGAACTTCTCAACAATAAGCAAGCAATTTCTCCATAGTCAAATTATGAAGGAAATAGTAATTCCAGTTTTACATACAACCAGGAAAAAAAATTAAATCCAAAACATGCTTTTACTTTACCTGAAAACAGTATCTTATATTAAGTAAAATTTTCTAAGTACAGGCTGTCTTAGAATCACAAGATCACAATATGTTAACATAGGAGAATCATTAATGAACACCTCATCTTACAGCATCTTTTTACAAACAGAAAACAGAAGCAACGTAAAGTGTCTCCCAGTTATCTTCTTTATTTTTAGACATCCAATTACTTAAAAGTGTTTTTTTAGTTAATGAATTTACCTATAGTCACTGTTCTTACCTACTTGAATTTGACCAATGTGAAAATAAGAAAGTAAAAAATAGTCATTTTTTTACAGGCTATCATCTAGTCAAACATAGTAAGATTAAACATGGTAGGGGGAAAGGGGAGGAATATATTATTTGACTCACAGCAATCCAGATGTATTTTTCAGTTCATTTATGCTCTTTTCTGGAACTTTACTGCCACTAAACCATTTCTTAGTTGCAGAAAATAGAGACCGACTCAAACCTTTTCTTGATATAAGCTAAGAGAAAAGATTAAATACATTGACAAATATGAGAATTTAATATTTTTATTTTATATACAAAAGAAAAAACTCTAAAGTAAAAAGCTTTTATAGTGAGCAAATATTTATTTTTAACAACACTGATTTTTCTTTAAACTGTTGAATATGCTGAAAAAACCCTAGTGAAAATGATTTAACAGAATTTCATTAGGGACAGTAATGGTACTAAAAACTAATATTGGTTTTTCCTTAAAACAAACAAACAAACAAACACCATTTTAAATACTTTAAAAAACTTATCCTATTATATTCTCGTGTACTATGTACTGAAAAATTTTAAATATTAATCGAAAAAAATAAAATCTTACCTGATCATTTAACTGCCGAATTGTTTTCTCTATATGTGGCAAAAGGCCCCGAAATGTGAATTCTTGTACAAACTGTCGAATTCTATCATGATCAGTAAGGGTTAGGCATGCACCATGAATAATTCCAGGATTTGCTTTCTTTGTTTCATGTAACGATGATGCAGATTTTACATGATCTGGGCCATCAATGTTGTTCGAAGGGTCACTGGATGCGTCCAATTGAAGTGGGTGGGCTCTGAAGTTATTTGGTAAGCCATCTGCTGAAAAACAGACCTTTCTTTTACTCCCAGTACGTAACAATATTACTGTCATACTGCTAAAGCAAAACAGGATGTTGGAATCCTTTATTTTCCTGTATATCTTAGACATCTATGGTGCAATAACATTAATATTTTCCCCTTTAAAGTTATAAGGCTTGGGTTATTACTTGTTACACATAATAGAAATTTTTAAGGTCATGTAAATAAGTCAAGAAAAATACAGTTTTGCCGAGACCAGTTTGGCTCAGTGGATAGAGCGTCAGCCTGTGGACCGAAAGGTCCCAGGTTCGATTCCGGTCAAGGGCGCACATCCCCGGTGGGGGGTGTGCAGGAGGCAGCTGGTCAATGTATCTCTCTCATCGATGTTTCTGACTATCTCTCTCCCTTCCTCTCTGTGAAAAATCAATAAAATATATTTTTTTAAAAATACAGTATTTAGATATAATTAAATAGTTTCAAAGTGCAAAATTAAGCAGTAAGAAATATTATAATAAAAAATTGTAAAGCTACCCTTATTACCAAAACTATAACTTAAAATATAAAAGAAACCCTCAAAATCATGTTAATTTTGGAAATAATTCATGATACACATATTCCCCTTGCTTTCCATAGATTTTTAAGAAATGTAGTACTTATAAAATTTAAATGTCAAATAAAAACAATCTCAACAAAATCTTCAGAAGAAAAGCTAACCTGTAGATTATCTTTATTATGAATATTTCCCCTATCTTTAATCTACAGAGTGTAGCATGTTTTGACAACAGTGCATATATTCAATTAAAAAAGAGAAATTTACAGAAAGGGTATCAAGACCTTTGACTTCGTTATCTAATCCATCCAATGAAAGCAAGTTACTATCAGAATTCTTGTTTGAAGATATAGTACAAGGGCCATCTTCATATGATTCCTATCAAAATAAGATAAAAAGCATTAGCACTTACACTTAATCATTTTAAGATAACTCTAAATCCATCAACAAATATGGCTGCTCTGCCTCATTTATTTGCTACAGCAGGACTCTTTTTTTTCCAATCCTCCAAATTCTTAACTTTTTCTATGCATCTTTATCTAGCACTCCAGTCCACACCTACTATATCCTTAAATTTCCTTTCACATTCAATCTATTACCCTGATTCTTCTGGATTCAAATGATCTGTATCCCAGTTATCTGTGTATAAGTGATGGGAACAATCCAATATAAATATCTGTATTGCATTTAAGTAAGGAACAACAGCAAAAGAAATGTACTATTAAAGTCAAGCCCGGGGAAAAGAGATGGCATGGAACCTCCTGGTCATGAACCCAGTGTTAACAGGTTGAAATGCACAATGAACGCATCAAAATGTTTTAGAAAAATATCCAATGCAATGTATTTGAACAAATACACTGTTTTCTCAATCAATGAAGAAAACTAAAAATACTCAGTAGTCAATCAGACCAGTAAGTTTGAGGTATTATTCCAAATCCTATATAAAATAGAATTTAATAAAGGGAAAGTGATCACAACAAAAAACAGTCTAAACCCTTTAAGAAAAATTTAAAAAAGACTTGGTATATTTAGCCTGGAAAAATAAAGAAGGAGACATGAACATCCTTCTCCTGTATTTTGAAAGTTGTCTTAACAGGAAATGATACAGTCCTCACAGGACAAATGAGTACAAACAAATGGAGAAAATTTTTGGTTGACCCTCACTCAAGCTGTTCAGATAGAAAGGATCACATGAAAAGATAGTGAGTAATGTAACTGAGGTCATTCATAGGTTCAAGGGAAATTAAAGCATTAGAAAACAGGGGTTAGATTCGGTAACCTTTAACTATCCTCCAATCATGGACCTCTAGGGTTATCAGCTATAGAATTGTTGATACTTCTGGTCTTGTGTTAAAAATTCTCAAATGTAACAGTCTCAATCTTAGATACTGGGCTCTAAACTGAATATTCTATTAATAAATAGTAATAAAATAAATATTATTAATTCTATTAAACTATTCCTATTCTGAGTGTGGCCTTAGGACCACTTTAAAACCGAGAGTCCCTTCAATCTAACTGGTTCTTTTTTCTCATCTTCCCCAGCATTATCTTAAAGGGCAGGAATCATCTTAATATTGCAAATACCAGTACAGAACTATATGTGGATCACAATTTCCATATATAGAGAAAAGTAGGGCAAATAAACAGATTTCTAAATATTTATAGATCAAAAGTTACATAAATTTTATAATTGATATTTTTTAAAATATCACATAAAGAGAATACAAGTTGTTAATTATACAAAATAAAAATATTTTCCATTTACTTAAGAAATCCTACTTCTAAACAAAAACCAGTCAACTCTGGATTATCTGAACTAATCTTAGGAATCTGTCATTTGACTCTTTACTGCCAAGGTGCTTTCTCAACAGTGCATTGCCCAGTGGGTGTAGCTCAGGGGACTGAGCGTAGTCCTATGCACCAAGAGGTCACATGGCACAGGTACAGGCTGCGGATCTATGCCTAACAGGAGTTGTGCAGGAGGAAGCTTATCGATGTTTCTATCTCATCAATTATTTCTCACTCTCTCTCTAATTCCTCTCTCTCTCTCTCTTTTAAAAAAAAAAAATCAATAAAAACATATTTTCTTAGAAAGTTTGACAGTGTGAAACCGTACACCAACCCATTTCAGACAACAATTAACATTAGTATGGAACTCTAGAGTAAGAAAGTAGATTAGGAAGAAGCAACACTTCCTGAAAACTCCAAGGAAAGGAGTCACAGGAAAGTTATGGAAAAAGCCCACCCACCACCCAAAAAAGTGTGAGTTCTAAAAGATGGCCATAAGAATAGCATGTTGAAAATGAAGGAAAGCAACCCCCCAGCATGTGAATAACAAAGAATGGATTATAAGCATTCAAAATGAATTAAATGTACAAATCAAAAATTCTAGCCAACTTAATTCAATTCTCAATGAGTAATTCACTTTCCATATTTTCGTGAAAAAATATCAATTAACATTGATATTATGTGCCTGAAAGGAGTAACATAGGGATTATTATTAGTTAAAAAAATAGCTTTGAACCACTGATTTAAGAGTTCACATGGTGATGAATGAAAGCTAGCCAGATTCCAAAATAAATATTATTAATTCTATTAAACTATGATATAAAAAAAAATTCTACAGATACCAGTATGGCATAAGACTGAAATAGAGCTTTTATGGTTTGCTTCATTGTTGTTTTTTACATATACCTGGTTTTGAATACTATTTTTCTGAAGATACTGACTCCAAGGATCTGGTATCTGTTCATCTGATGCTTGATTAGATGTTCGAGAATTAATTTTAAGTAAATAGCAACCCTGAGTTCCATATTTCTGTTTCATTTCTTCATAAATGGATTCAGCTCTAAATTAAAAAATGGAAAACGTTTCTAGTAAGTACGGAGCAGACTTGAGGCAATAAAAGATACTAAAATAATTTTTAAATGATGTAAAAATAATCCCCTGAAAAGACAGATCAGAAAATTAGAAAGACTCATTTTCAAATGAAAACAAAGATACTGATCTTAACTGAAATTCATCTAGCTTGGATAAACAGGGTTTCCAAGGTGTGTTCTATGGAATAAAATTGTGCAAGCTACTCCTACGTTACTCAGAGAGAGTTCTGGTGGTCCAACTAGTTTGGGGAATTACAGTTAACCGTTTCTTTGCAGCAAACCATCTCTAAGTCTTCCATTTGTTAACGTGCACTATGAATTGACAAAGAGCTGCAAACAGTACTGTAACTCAACTCTGAGGATTTCAAGAAATAAAATGTGTTTAAGTCTATCAGCCATCTGGTGCAAAAAAAAAAAAAAAATCCTGGAAAAATCTTATATATCATGTTCAAATTGCTAATAGCATGCAAATAACAAGCCTAGCACACAATGAAACCATAGTACCTACTATAAAATTAAGGCTAGAAAAGTAGTTATAAATTTCTATAAACACTGATATAAGGATACATGCATGTACATATACTCAAGTACAATAAACTAAACTTCTTCTCAATTTACCAGTGATACTGCTAAACATGTGAATCACTAATATAATACCTGAACTACCACTTAAATGTCCTAGTAGATACATAGTTAACTGACAGAAACTAACCAGTTCAAGATTATTTCTATTCTTTATCCTACAGGCTACAGAGTATTTATGATTTCAAAGATTAGTAATCCTCAAAATAATTCTTTGATTTTATAGAGAAAAATTTATTAAAAAGATGGCTTGTGCTCAAAATAAGGGCAAGAAATAATTACTCAACTGCATATTATAAATGTCACTGTGACATCAGAAAAGTGAGAAACAAAAGATGTGCTACACATCTTAAACCAAGAGTCAAAGTCAACTAACTTCATAAGTAAAAATTGCTTTTAATGCTATCTTATTTTTTAAGAAATTTTTAAAGCTATGTTATTCACTTATCTGAAAGATAAAAGGACTACAGCAAATCACTAATAATAAATAGTACAGGAAACATTAAGAAATGTTCGGATGTTTCTGAGGTTGTGAAAAACATCAAGGCTAAAAATATAAAGTGACAAAAGTGAAGAGTGAAAAATGAAGTGCCTATAAGCAACAGCCAGGAAGTGAAAAGTCAGACAAAAACTGGGAAGGAAGAAAAGGAGAAAAGGGGAAATAATTTTATATAAAGTAAGAAATAACACCTTAGACCTCTAGGTGTAAAATGGCAAGCACTTGTGTACAGTGATTATGCTAACAGATATTCACAGTGAAAGAAAAGTTTGGGTAAGCATATGAAATCCAACATAAAATGATTCAGCTATTAACTAGAACTCTGAAATTTATATGGGTTTTTTAATAATAGCTATATGGGGTTTTTTACTCAATTTTTACTTTCACAGATGAAAAATATACCTAACATTTAAATAAGCCATGTTCAAATTAAAGTTGTATCATTTAAAAGAAGAAAATCTCTTAATTAAAAATGGAAAGCTTACCTCTGTTCGTCTCCTGCACTTACATCGTGTAAGAGTACATAGTATTTAAGTGTATTTGGTATAAACCACTTGGGGTAGGAATAGTCATTATTGTGCTGAATTCGATGCTGCTCTTGTGACAACTTTCCAAACTGTTCCATAGGTTCTGCTTCACTAGACGATGCTACCAGCATACCTTATAAACCATATTATTAAGGTAATTATCATTTACCACTCAATGATAAAAATATCCTATTAAAATAAACTTAGGAAGATAATTTCTCAGCCAAAAAAAATTGGTATCATAGGTTTTCACAGCAAGCACAAAATAATTTCTCCAACACGTCTATGTTATTCAAGATCTTAAATCTTAAAGATTTTTTTGTTGCCATTGTTGGGTTATTTACATATCAATATGGAAAATAAAAATGGACAATATCAAAATTGTACAACTATCAAAATATCCAATAATTCTGCTGAATCTTGCTCCTTCCCATTCCATTTCCCTGCAGTTTCATACTCTATCCTACCTCTTAACTTCCCTCTATAATCACATTTAAAAAACTAAAAAAAGACATTAACTGTCAAAGGAGGTTAATAGCTACAAAACAACTTACTAGTAGGGAATGTGCAGGAGGCACCCAATCAGTGTGTCTCACACCGATGTGTCTTTCTCTCTCTACTTATCCATTACTTTCTCTCTAAAATAATTAAAGACATATTATTTTTAAAAAGTTATTATGCATAAACCACTTGAGTTGGGGGATAAAGAAAAACAATAAGCAATCCCTCAGTATTCCTACTTTATAAACAAAAATTAATTTATTACACCAATCCCTACCTAGTATGCTACTTAACAACACGACGACGATGAAAATTGAAGCATTATCAATTTTAAGATAATCCAGCCCTAGCTGGTTTGGCTCAGTGAACAGAGCATCAGCCTGCAGAATGAAGGGTCCGGGTTGCATTATGGTCAAGGGCACATGTCTGGGTTACGAGCTCAGTCCCCATGAGGGGGCGTGCAGGAGGCAGCCATTCAATGATTCTCTCTCACCATTGACGTTTCTATCTCTTTCTCCCTTTCCCTTCCCCCTGAAATCAATAAAAATATATATTTTTTAAATCCACATTCTCTATATCCTTTCAACAATTTTGCCTTCATATAACTATTTCTGAGATTAGTAACTTTCAAAACATTTTATTTTAAGAGAACAAAAAGGTCAAAGGATACAGGCTAAATAGTGGTTCAGAAATTCATGATCTGATGCTGGCATTGACTGAAGAAAGGTCTCTCTGTAAGACTCAAACCATGGAGTAGTAGCTAAAATTAATCATAAACAAAACAGTTAAAATTTCTCAATACAATCAGTTTACAACAGACAAAATTTCAAGTCCATACTTATGTGGTTTCAAGTTAGTAATTTCTAGCAATATTTTCACCTGTGCTTTAATATACACGTAGTACGTATATACGATAAGGCCATATACACAAATACATTCATATATGAGAGTATATACAGGGGGTGTTGCAAAGAAATGTATAGACACTTTGAATAATTATAAAGGCAATATTTATTAAAATACATTTTCATTTCAAAATGTCACAGAATCAGCTGTTATGAGTGTGTATACATTTTTTGGCACACCCTATATATTTGCAAATATAAAATTTACTCCCAAACCTACATAATACCACAATTTACTTACCTATTAATGCTTTAAATATCATCTACATGAATAAAGCGATTTTAGAACTAAAGTTTTGTGTTCTTGCCACTAGTCACATTGTCATAAGTGGCTCCTTTTCATAAATGACATCATTTCAGAACACTGGCTCTCAACTGAGAGTGGCTTTACCCACCAGGAAACACTTAGCAATGTCTGGAGATGCTCTGGGCTGTCACAACTGGGAGTGAGAAGGGGTACTACTGGCACCAAGGGAAAGAGGAATGACTCAAAACACCCTACTATAAACAACAAGACAGCCCCCTTCAAAGGATTATATGGCCCAATGTCAATAGTGGCAAGGCTGACAAACACTACTTTAGCACTTAATTACTTAACTATGGCAGTAACAAAACCTCTTTCAATGGAACTTCAAAGCATATTTACTTTATAATCAAATATAAAAGATAGGTGTTTTCACTTTTTGAATACATGTACTATATATTAAGCGTTTCCTAAAATATCATATCCCTCTTTGCTCCATGCTAAGCATTTTATATTATGACTATTCTAACATTTTTTATTTGAACTTAATTATTTCACTAGGTTTAAGTAGATTGTCTAATCACAATATTTCTAAAAGGACACTCTATTCCTAGTTTCTTATGCCAATTACCAAGTCATATGTTTTTGTTTTTGTTTTGTTTTCATGTTAATCACTGAAAACAGCAAATAGATTTTCTGTTTAATACTACATTAAAAGAGTGGGAAGGCTAAAGAGAAAAAAGCTATTCAACCTGACCAAATAGCATATTTCACCTGCCCTGTTTCCCCGAAAATAAGACAGTGTCTTATATTAATTTTTTCTCCCAAAGTTGCGCTAGATCTTATTTTCAGGGGATGTCTTATCTTTCCATGTGCTAGCTCTTATTTTCGGAGGATGTCTTATTTTCGGGGAAACATGGTAATAGCATACATACAGAAACATTTAATCCCAATAAATGCCATATGAGAATAACCCATACATTATTTAGGAGGGCTATTAGTGTAATAATTTCATGTTCACTGCTATAAAAAAAAATCCCCAGAAATATTATAATCTATATGAAAAGTGGCAAAAATAATGCCTGACCCGTGATGCTCGGTAGTTGAGCATCAACCTGGGAACCAAGATTCCTGGTCAGGCCATATACCTGGGTTGGGGGCTCAATCCCTAGTAAGAGGCGTGCAGGAGGCACCCGATCGTTGATTCTCATCATTGATGTCTCTCTCTCTTTCCTCCCCCTTACTCTCTGAAATCAATAAAAATATATGCATATTTAAAAATAAAGTTAAATTTTAAAAAAGCAAGTATATACACACATGTTCTTAAGCTGAAATACTACTTTCTAAATACTGGTACAAGACACTGGATACTCACTAAGGATATGAAAAACAAAGGAAAATTTTTAAGATATATATGGCAGAAGTGGGTTTTATCTTTCAAGAAGGTCACATTCACATTGAGAGAGTAAATCTTCCCTTCAGCCTTTTATTTCCTTAAGGGGCTAATTAAGAAGTCCTCCTTCAGCCGAAACCGGTTTGGCTCAGTGGTAGAGCATCGGTCTGCGGACTGAAAGGTCCCGGGTTCGATTCCGGTTAAGGGCATGTACCTTGGTTGCGGGGTTGCGGGCACACCCCCAGTAGGGGGTATGCAAGAGGCAGCTGATCGATGTCTCTCTCTCATTGATATTTCTAACTATCTCTCTCCCTTCCTCTCTGTACAAAATCAATAAAATATATTAAGAAGTCCTCCTTCAGGGAGTGAACTGACGATTCTTGAGGAGAAGGGGATGTGGGAAGAGACTGAACATAAACTGTTCACCTATGGATGAGGACAATGGGGGGTGGGGAAAGGGCAGAGGGTGGGGTGGGGTGGGGTGGGAACCTGGTGGAGGAGAGCAATGGAGGGGAGGGAGTGGGGGGGGGGAAAGGAACATTTGTAATAATATGAACAATAAAAATTTATTAAAAAAAAGTCCTCCTTCAGTTATTTTACATGCCAATAAATCAAGGGTATTCTCCTTTTTTTTTCAAATTACATTTTTGTAGAAAGTGGAAAACCTAACAGTCTTATGTTACTGTAGAGCAACCCAAAATGTCTTCTGTTAACAAAAGACTTCAACATTTAGTGACAATTCTCTCCCTTTATGAAGTCTCTTATTCTTATTTGAGGATGAAATTACTCTGCCCATACCACTTCCTCCTCTGAGTCTTCTTTCTTTGGAATTTGAAGAGCAACCATGTTATCCTACCAGTTTCTCTGTGCAGAATGCATTCTGTCTTGGTAAGGAAGGTTAAGGAAGGCAGCAAAGGGCCAAAAAACAACATGACGGTCCAACTCCCAGCCATCCTCTTTGCTCCCTTTTCAGTGTCAGTGATTTGGGACACGAAGTTATTATATTCCCAACAAATGTCTAACAAGGGCTACAGTGGTGAATTAGACCTAGAGCAACGTGGGTCCGCATCCTACTGAAACCAAAATTATTTAAAGACCCCAAATCTGCAGGTGAAAAAGACTGAATATCCTAAATATAAGCATCACCTGTAAATCACGTATTTACCCTTCCTCATTTACGAAGCTGAAGGTGCAAGAAAACATACTGCCAAACTAAGAAATACTAACATATTACAAATATGTTGGCACTTATGACTATGCAATTTTAGATAAACAGTACTAGACATGCCAAAACTAAATGCAGGTGGAGCAAAAGTAGGTTTACAGCTGTGAGTACACAAAACACAGTTTATTCTTACAGTATTATTTATTGTTATTTTCTTTGAAATGACAGAGGATTTATTTTTTTATTTTTTAAAATATATTTAGGCCGGGACCGGTTTGGCTCAATGGATAGAGCGTCGGCTTGGGGACTGAAGGGTCCCGGGCTCGATTCCGGTCAAGGGCATGTACCTTGGTTGCAAGCATATCCCCAGTGGGGGTTGTGCAAGAGGCAGCTGATTGACGACTCTCTCTCATCGATGTTTCTAACTCTCTAGCCCTCTCCCTTCCTCTCTGTTCAAAATCAATAAAATATATTTTAAAAAAAATATATATATATATATATATATATATATTTAGAACATTACATAAGTATTCTAAACCTCATATTTAGGTGATAAAGCAGTTAATTATTATTTTCCATATGAACAACTGTAAACCTACTTTTGCCCTACCCTGTACTACTATATATTCAGAAAATATCCTAGTAAAGAAAAGGAATTAAGTAATTAAGTGTAAAATACTTAATTACATAAATGTATAGCCTCAAAATAAAGAATATTTGACATTAAACTCTATGATCAGAACATACTGATTAATAAGAGAATCTTAATATAAAAGCTACAAAAAACTGAAACCAAAATTCAAAACTTATGAGCATTTTGCAAATTATGAAAGATTTTAAATAATATTAAAAACTAAGAAATACTAACCTTATATTTTCTTTTTCTTTTTTTTTGTCTTTAAAGATCTTTTATTTTTTTTATAATTTAATATATTTTTTATTAAGTTATTATTTTTGTACATATGCCCTCCCCCCTCCCCCGAGTTTTGTGTCCATTGGTTGTACTTATATGCATGTATACAAGTCCTTCAGTTGATCTCTTGTATCTCCCCCAGATCTCCCCAGCCTCCCGCTGTAATTTGACAGTCTGCTTGTTGCTTTACTGTCTCTGTATCTATCTTTTGGTTCTTCAGTTTATAACGTTCTTTATCATCCATAAATAAGTGAGGTCATGTCTAACCTTATATTTTCACATCCATGAGAACTATTCTTTTTCATTTTTTTCCTCTCATTTTTCTATTAAGGTATTATATGTGTACATACCTTACCAATTCCCACAAGAACTATTCTTAAGGAGACTATTTCTAATTATTTTCAGAAAAATCAAAGTAGACACCACAGTGGAAGATCTTTTAAAAATAAATTGTCCTCTACTCAAACTATACTCCTTTTGGTTCTCAGTATACCAGGAAAAAATAGTCATTGCCATTTATTAACTGGATCTAACTGACCCTTGATTTTTAATTCACTTTACAAATTATTTACAGAATAAAGGTACAGGAAAAAAATAATTTTTTTTGCAGAGCTGTCCAATAAGTAGTTAGCCACTAGCAACATGTGGCTAGCAAGCACTTGAAATGTGGCTTGTCTGAATTAAGATGTGATATAGATCTTAGGCAGTACCAAAAAAGTAAAATTTCCAATTACACATAGACATAATATTTTGTATAGTCTGAATTAAGAAAAATATAGTAGTATTAAAATTAATTTCACCTGTTTTAAGATTTTTTTTTATTGATTTTTAGAGAGAGAAGGGAGAGGGAGAAACAAACATTGATGGTAAGAGTGAAACACTGATCCGCTGCCTCCTGTACATCCCAACCAGGGATCAACCCGCAACCTGGGCATGTGCCCTGACCAGGAACTGAACAGAGAACCCCTAGGTGCATGGGATGATGCCCAACTGAGCACACTGGCCAGGGCTTCACGTGGTCTTTACTTTCTTTATTGTACAATAGCTAGAGAACATTAAAAACAATACAAGTGGCTCGCCAATTTCTACTGGACAGTACTTGTCTGGAATGCTATTACACTGATTTGGCTAATTGTGAAAAACTGTGTCTTCCACTGTCAAATTTATTTTCTCTGCCACTATGGACTGAAACTGAAAAGTTCTCAATACTTATCTGCATTCAAAGGGAAAAAATGAAAACAAAGGTAATGGCTACAAATATGCCTTCGTTCTTCCTTTATAACTTCTTGAAAGAAAATGCTCTGAGACAACTGTTGAAAAGTATCTCCTACACAGATGCACACCCCAAAACTTTCAGATGTTTCAATATGCTTCCTTTTTCCTGACCTATTTGAACCTTTAAGCAGAAAACCATGAATTAGCAAAAACTAGAAGAAAGCAACTGGTCTAAAATGACAGATCACAACAAAGAGGAAAGCTACTAGACGAAACAGGTTATTCCTGGATAAAACATTTCAAAAGGACACCGATGAAACCAACATTGGAGTGTAAAATAAAAAAATACAATATACTATGGCACCACAAAATTTAAAACTGAAGGATGATATAATAGTAATGATATATTTCACTACTATATCATCTTTCAAGGCAATTCCATCATTCTTGCACTTTCTTTTTTTTATATATATATATTTTTATTGAGTTTTTACAGAGAGGAAGAGAGATAGAGAGCTAGAAACGTCGATGAGAGAGAAACATCAACTAGCTGCCTCTTGCACACTCCCCACCGGGGAACTTGAGGGTCTGCTGAATCAAGTGATGAAGGCTTAGATCTGGATGTGTTGAGTTAGTATAGTGCTGGGGTGTTGATCTGTGAGTGCCTTGTGTGGGGTCTGGATGAGATTGGTTGATCTATTTGGAAGTGTCTTTTGTGTGAAGTGTATCCTTGGGCATGCGGAGGTATTATTGATTTGAGAAAATGCTAAGTAACAGATTTACTATCTGAAAAATCTAAAGTTCTGAAAGTTTAAGGTCTCTTGCCAAAAAGAGGTTTTAAAGCTAACACCTTAATTTTAATGGAGAAAGGGGAGGACAAGCCCTTCCCACCCAGAACAGGTAATCCAATTCCAGCCAGCAGCTATCATATCTTTAAACAATGTTTATTTACATTTGAATGGCTACACTTTTTGATGGCCTAAGGGCAAGTTTACATGTAAACAAGGTTGCTTCTCAATTCCCAGGGCAGAAAAAACAAGGTTTAAAATTATTATATTTTAAAATTTATTCTTAAAAATATAAAAGTTTTTTAATTACAAAAAAAAAACAAGGAAATTAAAAAACCTGATGAACAACATTAACTGTTGATTATAATAGAATCAGAGATACGGAGGGGAGTGGACTGACAATTCTGGGGGGGAGGGGGGAGTGAGGGGGGAGTGGTGGATGCGGGAAGAGACTGAACATAAATGTGCACCTATGGATGAGGACAATGGGGGGTGGGGAAAGGGCAGAAGGTGGGGTGGGAACCTGGTGGAGGGGGGAAAAATGAGGAACCTTTGTAATAATATGAATAAAGATTGATTAAAAAAAAAATACTTTTAAGATAATGGAAAAGTAAGAATACTAAGTTCTTATACTGCACTAGACATATTTTAAAAGCATTCTTTATGCTTTTTATTCTTATATAAAAATTTAGGAAAAAATATTGAATATTTAAACAATCCTCTAAAATACTGTTTACACATGACTACTCTCCAGAAAAAAAAAACATTTTTCCTTATCAAGGAAAACAAGGTGTAATCCAAATTATACTATTCTGAAACAATACCTGGATTTAGAAGATAAGGTAAACCAAGAGTAAACAATAAACAACAGATGATAGGATCGATAAGGTAAGTTGCACAAGCATCACCAGACTGTCTCTGTTTTAGAAAAATTAGACAGACATGTTATCTGGGACAATTTTTTTTTTTTTTTAAAGTAGCTGAGTAGAAAAAAATAATAGACAGGAGTAGAGTGAGAATCATCTGGAAAACTCAGACCAACATAGAAAATACCTGTATTTAATGAGGATTCTTTCATTTCCTTCAATGTATCTTTCCAATTACTGTACCAAGGAACACTAGCTTTTATTAACCGATCTGATGAAGAAAACATGGCACTGATAAGGTAGTCTTATGAGGTAAAGATATAACATGTATTTCTTAAATAGAATGGGTAAAAAGTATGCTGACTCACGTTAATGGCAAAAATTAGAAGTAGTTTTCCAGACAGAGACTATCTTATTTGAAATGGTAAAAACCACTCATATATCTCTAGACTCTAGAATTCTGTTACACGGAATTTTATTACGATGCCTTCAGTGCTTCGGCGTATCCCATTCCCAGCCTTCAAGACCAACACAGGGAGGTCTTACAGCAGGAGCAGGGAGAGAAGCTGAAGAGACCGTTTTCTTCGGCGATGTAGCTTATCCAAACCACTGCGGGTTCTTTTTAAAATCTGCCTAAGCAGGGGTCCTCAACCTTTTTAAAGTGGGGGCCAGATCACGGTCCCTCAGAGCTGGAGGGCCGGACTGTATGAACTACTAATTCCTACTGTAACACCTCGGCTGCGCTCACTGCCCAAAAAACCTGGCGGGCCGGATCAGACTCCTCTGCGGGCCGCATGTGGCCCGCGGGCCGTAGTTTGAAGACGCCTGTAAGGGATCAGCTATAAAGCAGTGCCTGCACCTGTGCTTAAAGACAAACAGCACTCAATCCCTCCACAGGTGGAGTGTTAGCAGGAGCCTAAGGATATAAGTAATCTACCTGGATAAAATAAATTTTTAAACTAATATTTTGCAATTGTCATTATATTAATGGATATTAATATACAGGACATTTTTTAAAATATATTTTTATTGATTTCAGAGAGGAAGGGAGAGGGGAGGGGGATAGAGAGAGAGAGAGATATATCAAATAATGGGAGAGAATCATTGATTGGCTGCTTCCTGCATGTCCTCACTAGGGATGGAGCCCAGATCAGGAATTTTGAACTATGACCTCCTGGTTCACAGGTCAACACTCAAAACCACTGAGCCATGCCAGTCAGCTGGATAAAATAATTTCTCACAACCAAATCATGACCATATTGGTCCTATAAACTATCTACCAAACGACTTTAATACATCATTTAAAAAAATAATAAGCCCACCCCCAGCAGTTAGACATCAGATTTGAGAAACTTACTCTCGAGAAACTACATGACCCCATATTAAAGAGCTGTAAGTAATAAAAGAAGGGTAACATTCAAGCCTATTACAGTCTCACTACTCAACAGAGAAGACAAGTTTTGTTATGCCCAGTCAGGGTTTTAATGCCTCAATTAGAAAGAGAAAATCATGCCAAGGGCTCACAGACATGTGAAGCAAGATTACAATATGAAAGAGAGACCAAAACAAACTGGAAAATAATACAAATGAGAGAAAAATCATAAAAGAAAACAACAATTTATTAAAATTCTCAGAGTTAAGTTACCACAATAGGAAACAGAACTACATGCTACAAAATAAAATCAGCCCAGCAGGAGTGGCTCAGTGGTTGAGCGCTGACCTCTGAACAAGGAGGTCACAGGTTCCTAGAGAGGACACACATCCAGGTTGCGGGCTCAATCCCCAGTGGGGGGGCATGCAGGAGGCAGCCAATCAATGATTCTCTCTCATCAATGATTCTCTCTCTCTCTCCCTCTCCCTCTCCCTCTCTCTCTCTCTCTCTCTCTCTCCCTTCCTCTCTGAAATCAATAAAAATGTGTTTTTTTTAAAAAGAAAAATCGAGAGCAAGAGAATATTAAAATTTCAATAGAAGATAGAAAATAAAGTCAAGAGTATCCCCCAGAAAGTAAAACAAAAAGACCTAAGAGATGGAGACGGACAATATTAGAAGAAAGATGAAAACATCAGAGGAGTAACTCAGGAAGCCCTACATCCAGCTAACAGCAGTCATTCCAGAAAGAGCAAAGAAAACAACGGAGAAGAAATTAACAAAGAAAAAAACACACAAGAAATTTCTCAGGATTAAAGATTATGCATGACCAGATTATCAAAAGGAGCTACACAATACAATGAGTAAAAAAGGAGTTAAATCAGGTCCAACATGAAATTTCCAAATAAGTGGAAGAGCTTCTAAAAGTTGAAGGGAATAGGCGGAGAAATATCATAATGTATTACAGTTCCTTTAGGATACTAGAAGTTACAAGAAGTGAAACAATTCTGTGAGAAATTGTTTCTAACTCAGAACACAGATATATATATATATATAGTCAAGTATGTAAGAAAACAAGCATAAAAGAAAACAATTTTTCAGACATCTGTTTCTCAAAAAATGTACCTTCCCAGCAGAGTTCCTTAGGAAAGTACTTGGAGATGTCCTTCACCATACCCAGGAAATATGCCCCAAGAGATACGAATGAGAGACTACAGAGAAGGGAAGGGAAGGAAACTCACGAGATGACAGTTGTGGAGCAGGCCTTGGACAGTAACCAGTTCAAAATGGAGAAGAATAGTGTTTTGCAACTTTTATTTCATTATCTTCCCCATGAGCCTTTTTCTTTCCTAACTGGTCCTTCCCCAAAGAAATACTTTTACATAATACCACAGACATACTATGTGTCCAGTTATGTAGCACAGGCCTTTGGAGAGCCACAAACCATTGTAATATCTAGATTTTTTTTGTCTACCAAATCTCTCTCCCACTGAAGGGTATCATTCCCCATGAAGTATAAGATTTCAGGAAGGAGATCTTTTGATGTGGAAAGATAATCAAAATATTCTAAACTTGAAATTATCAAGTTAACTTATCTTGCTCTAATTAAATTAACACAGAAGAAAAATTATGAACTTTTAAACAATATAATTTTACAAATATTTTCAACATTGTATTCTAGATCTATCACTAAGCACTTAAGTGTTTGTTAAGTTAGTATTTCCAAGTTACAGAATTACTTTTTCTAAAAAAAAAGATCAATTCCTTTTAGAAATAAGAAACCTTATTACATACCACTGATGTTGAGGTCATAGTCCCCTGCCGTAAACACATTAGCTACTAGTCCATCCGCAGGCTGACAGCTAGAAACAACGTCACTCAGAAGTTTCCGAATGGCTCCAGGCTGAGGCGGTTGGGTGATAATGTTGCTTACTGCTATCTTCAAATTTTTTATTATGTGAAGCTGATTATTAGGATCTCTCATATGAACTTTAGGAGAGAAAAAAAAACATGAAATTAATTCTACACAATTCATAACAAACCAACTGTAACAATAAAAAAAGTTGGGTTAATATTAGTTTACAAACAAAAAAGATGATCAAATCAGAAACCAGAAAGTCCTAGTGGAACAGCCTTCCATAAATACAACTGACTTACAACATTCCCTTATAACCAAAAGGGCTAGCCAGACAGTCCAGCCTTCCTCGAAATGCTCTGCTCATGTCCCTACACTATGTATTTTCCTTCTTCCTGTTTGGAGTTGCCAAGGACCAACCACCACACATACCACTCCTCACATGAAGGCTGTCCAGAGCAGTGTGAAGTCTGTGGTACCAACGCTGAAAATAGTGAGAACTAAATGATAACCTGGGGATTCCTCTACTCCCCCAAGTGTGCTGCCTGCATTCTCAGCCACTACTGTCCCATCATAAAAATCCCGGATGCTGGCAGTGGGAAGGCACTGGAACAGAAGGTATACAGAAACGCTATTCTTTCTGCTCAATTTTGCTGTGAACCAAAAACTGCTCTAAAAAATAAAGTCTATTTTAAAAATCCACACCCAAATCCCTCGTACCATCCCCAGTCTCTCTTGCCGCTACCGTTACAGGTCTTGCCTCAAGTCCATGGGATTAAAACCAGTGGCTCAGAGCGCCAGGCCAAGACTAGGTTCTTAGGAGATGATACCAGACAGTACCCATAGTGCACAGTACGAAATGTGAGCATATCTTTTCATAAAAGATACTCAAGCAGTTTCCAGAGCAGTATTAGAGCAGCCCATTATATTAAGCTCCAATTTTTGAAGTCAGGCTTTTTTTCTTTTAGAAAATATATTTTTATTTATTTCAGAGAGGGGGGAGACGGGGGGGGGGGAGAGAGAGAGACATTAATAATGAGAATCATTGAACTGCCACCTCCTGCTGGGGTTGAGCCCATTACCGGGCATGTGCCCTTGACCAGAATCAAACCCAGGACCCTTGAGTCGGAGGCTGATGCTCTATCCACTGAGCCAAACCAGCTAGAGCTGGAATCACACTTTATTTTAAATCCCAACCCACCACTTATTAACCGGGTTACCCTAAATAACCTTTTAACTTTTCTGTTCTTCAGTTTCCTCATCTGTAACATGGGATTAAAACCTACTTCACAGGGTTATTTTAAAGATGAACGTGGGACATTGTTGGGTGAGAGAGTAAATGTAAAGCACTGACCCCATGCCTGGCACATACATAATCATGTAGTGAAGTTCTCAACAGGTGGAGGCAGCAGGTGTAACACACTATTATAAGAACATCATGAATCATTGTATACAAATAAGAGGCAACTCTGGAAAACTGGCTTTGGATACCTACCCATAAAAAAAATGACTTTTATTCCCAATGGAAAATGCTTTATACTGAACTTTTAATTTCAGGCCTGCCTATATTTTAAATAAGGTTACATCTGTAAAAACTGTCTTCCTAAATTTCCTGTGAACCTTTGTTGATTTCTAAGCTTTTAATTAAAAAAAAAAGTTTATAAAAACTCTATTGAATATGTACACTTGTATTATAAATATATACACAAAAGTACAAATAAAATACATGCAAGTTCCATTATAATAATTGCCTGTGAAGGAAAAAAATGAGACCAAGGGAAGGTTTAAAGGTGCCTTCAAGGGAATCACTGTTTGGTTTCTTCTCAAAGGAAAGAAGAAGACACAAAGGAAATATGACAAGAAGGTTGATATTTGTTGGTTCTGGGTAGTGGGAAGGTGGATGTTTCCTGTATTCTCTGCATTCCTCTGTGATTATTTATTTTTTCTAACAAACACACAGAGCTCTCTTCCTAACTAAACTTTCCAGCTAGTCTATGAACAGAAAAACCAAAAACACAAGAAAATATTATGGTACATTTCTAACATTTTTAGAAACAAGTATTTTCCTTAAAGTTAGTTTAAAATTGTTGAGTAACTTGAGTAGCCGTGTGTGCTAAACCTCTCTCAAGCCTGGCCAGTGTGGCTCAGTGGTTGAGTGTGGAACATATAACCAGGAGGTCTAGTTCGAGTCCGATCCAGATAGATTCCGAGTAGGGGGCATGCAGGAAGCAGCAATCAATGATTCTCTCTCATCACTGATGTTTTTCTCTCTCTCTCCTTTCCATTCTGAAACCTATATACATATATATAGGTTTTATTTTATTATCTTGCAGTTTCATTTATTTATTTTTTTAATATATTTTATTGATATTTTACAGAGAGGAAGGGAGAGAGAGTTAGAAATGTTGATGAGACAGAAACATCAACCAGCTGCCTCTTGCACACCCCCTACCAGGGATGTGCCTGCAATCAATGTACATGCCCTTGCCCGGAATCGAACCTGACACCTTTCAGTCCGCAGACCGACGCTCTACCGCTGAGCCAAACCGGTTTCGGCTAATCTCGCAGTTTTAAATTGGCCAGATATCTTTCAGTATTCATAAATATTAACACAAAAAGGATATTCTAGTTTTGCACTATATTCAGAGCGGGCTCATCAGGTAGGTAACCCTACTAATGAACCCAGAAATGAGTTAACAGGTGTGGCAGCCAGTCTCTGAAATGGCCCCAATGATCCCGCTATTCCCTGTTACACACACTCCCACATCCTGGGGTTGCTATGTGTGACCCACAGAACACAGCCAACGCAATGGTACACACTCCCGAGACCAGTTCTAAGAGCACAGCTCTACCCTGGGTCCTCTCTCTGGCCACCCCTCGGGAGGAAGCTGGCTGCCATGCCCCGGGACAGTCAGGGGGCCTCTGGGCAGGCCCACAGGGCACAGACTGGGTCTCAGGCCAGTGTCGGTGAGGAAGTGAGACTTGCCAGCAACCATGAGTGAGCTTGGAAGAGGATCCTCAAGCCCCAGATGACTGCAGTTCTTGCTGACAGCTCCACTTGCAACTTCAAGAGACCCTGAGCCAAAAGCATCCAGCTAAGCCACTCCCAGATTCCTGAGAAACAATAAATGCTTTTGTTTCTAGGGCAGCGTTTTTCAACCGCTGTTCCGCGGCACACTAGTGTGCCGCGAGATGTTGCTTGGTGTGCCGTAGGTGCAGACAAGACAAGAATTTTATAATTTTTCACTATTTTGTTTACTTAATATTTCATAATAAAGTAATTATAAAATACTTTCTTTGTGTTTATTTGATTCCTATTCAAGAGAATTACTTTATATATAGTCAATATAGGCACAGAGTTAAATTTTTTAACATTTTCTAATGGTGGTGTGCCTCGTGATTTTTTTCATGAAACAAGTGTGCCTTTGCCCAAAAAAGGTTGAAAAACACTGTTCTAGGGTACTAAGTTTGGGGGTCATTTGTCAAATGATAATAGAAACAGGAATATCACAATATAAGAGCTAATTATAATTAAGAAAAATGCTCTTAAATTCAAAAGCTTCAGAACTAAATTATATTAAGGCTTAGTTAAGATTATAACTATACAAAGACTATCTGTAAATATATATATCCTATATAATAATCCTATATAACAAAAAGGGTAATATACAAATTGACCCTAACAGTCGCTATGATGTGCACTGACCACCAGGGGGCACTCAATGCAGGAGCGGCCCCCTGGTAGTCAGTGCACTCCCACAGGGGGAGCTCGGCTCAGCCACAGCTGGGCTGATGGCTGAGCGCAGGGGCAGTGACGGGAGCCTCTCCCGCCTCCTTCGCAGCGCTAAGGATGTCCGACTGTGGACATCCTCCCCCTCCTCCCACCCCGAAGGCTACCAGGTTGCCAGAGGGATGTCTGACTGCCAGCTTAGGCCCAATCCCCCAGGGATCAGGCTTAAGACAGCGGATGACATCTCCCGAGGGGGCCCAGACTGTGAGAGGGCACAGGCTGGGCTGAGTGACCCCCTCCCAAATACACGAATTTCGTGCACTGGGCCTCTAGTGTGTGTGTGTGTGTGTGTGTGTGTGTGTATGTGTGTGTGTGTGTGTGTGTGTGTGTATATATATATGAAAGGCTAAGCAACCGTTCAACTGTCCAGTACTTATTGCACACACTGACCACCAGGGGTCAGATGCTCAACGCAGGAGCTGCAGTGGCTTGGCAGCACAGAACTCTGCAGTGTGCCCTCTCGGACTCCAGGATCCCTCGGGGAATGTCGGAGAGCTGGTTTCAACCAGATCCCTGCAGGCCAGGCAAAGGGGCCCCACCTGCCAGAGGGACCCTACTCACTCCCCACGCCCCAGACCACGGGAGGGTGGCTCCAGGGGTGTCCAGCCCATCTCACTCAGTCACACCCCGCCAGCTACCTTCTAGTTAATTTCCTTCCAATGTGCACACATCCAGGTACCGGATCACTAGTGTATCATATAACATCTGTTTCAAAATTATATTCAACAGTGTGATGATTTCCGGAAAAGGGGAAAAGGGTGTGTAAGAGGGTATATGAAGGATAAATGAAATTCAAGTCTACCATTTTAATTTTATAGGTTACCAGATAGCATCTTGAATACTGTATTATGAAGTAATATTTCTCAGTATATGCTACTCCATGGAATACTGCTTCTTCAAGAAAGTTAAGAGCTTGTTTCTGAAAAACTGATCCCATGTTCAAATAAATATGGGAAATAAAAAATAGTATATATCTAAGAAAAAGGTATTATGGAAATAATAAAACTTGAAACAGCCTTTGCCTAACGGGTCAGGGAGTAAGAACAAGTTTTTGATTTAACCTAGGTGGGGTCATCTAGATTTATAGAAAAGGCAAAGTCCTAAAATTTGGTTTACAGATAAAAATTAGTCATTAGATTTTTTTATGCATTCATTGGTTGCTATTTTTATTTATTGTTGACAGTATCACAGATGTCCACCATTTCCCCCTCCTTTGCCCCACTCCGCCCAGCCCCTCAAAGAATATTTTTAACCCATACCAGTGTGGCTCAAATGGATGGAGTGTAGTCCCCATGCACCAACAGGTGACCGGTTCAATTCCCAGTCAGGGCACACACCCAGGTTGTGTGTTCCAACCCAGGTCTGGGCACCTGCCAGAAGCAACCAACTGATGTTTCGCTTTTTCTCTCGCTCTCCTTTCTCTCTTCCCCTTCCTCTTGCTTAAATGAATAAAAACATATCTTCAAAACAAAACAAAACACACACACAAAACACCATATCCTAAAGTGAGGATTTTTTAAAACGATCTTTTAATATTGACTATATATTGAAATAACATTTTGGGAATACTGGGTTAAAAAATATACATATCAGTCATTAAAACTAATTTCACCGGTTTCTTTTCACTTTTTTATCATGTGAACACTAACTTTAAATTATATATGTGACTCACATTATATTTCTATTGGCTAGTGCTGCTGCCCAGGTGAATAAGTAATCCTGAATACTGCCAGGAGATAAGAGGATCTGATCAGCACCTGCTCTGAGGTCTCAGGGCCTGTGTTTACATCTCTCCCACATGTAAGCTGGACACGTAACTCCCTGCCTCAGTGTCCTCCAACGTACAATGATGATAACAGCGTCTACCTCACAGAATTCAGTCAGGACCACAAGGGAAAAGCTGTGGAACACAGGTATCAGGTATTGGCATTATTACTTATTAACAAAGCAGGAGAGAGCACGCACGTCTCGCAGAGAATTGAGGAATGTAGGGCACTCAGCTGTTCCTGGGACTTAGTGCAACACTAGGGCATGGGCCGAAGAAAACCCTGTGTCCTGGGCCCCTTCCTCTCCTGTCAGCACCGCAGGGAGCCTAGGCATGTGCGCACATGAGTTTACCGCACAGCACGTTTGTGTGCACAAGTCACAGAACCCAATCCTCATCATAGCCGTTCACTTGACACAGCTGTATTTTTTTAAATATACTTCTACTGATTTCAGAGAGGGAGAGGAATAAATATAGAGAGGAGGGAGGGGGGGGAGAAAGAGGGGGAGGAGGAGGGAGGGAGGGAGGGAAACATCCAGGATGAGAGAATCATGGTGGGTCGGCTGCCTCCTGCAAATCCCTCACTGGGGATCAAGCCCACAACCTGGGCATGTGCCCTTGACCGGAATGGAACCTGGGACCTTTGAGTTTGCAAGCCAACACCCTCCCCACTGAGCCAGACCGGCTGATTCCAATGGTTGCAGGCTGTTGCTGGGCCTGTGATTAAGCCCCACAGGGCAGCACAGCTGTACTGAGCGAAGCCTTCGTTTTATAGACTTTGCTGCGCTCTGTTTGCAAAGCACAGCTAGAGGCCTGGGTCACCATACCCGGAGCTCTGAGAGACCTGTGGGGTTTTTCCTAATAAAGACCCCAAAGCTGTGAAACTCAGGTACTAGCTCCTCCATTTAAGACGCGTTCCTACTAACGATTTAATTTTTAGCTGAAAAACCACATTTTAGGACTCCTCCTTCCCTATAAACGAACAATCTGTTCCTCCTCCCTCGTCCATTAGGCAAAGGCTGTTCCAAGCTTTATTATTTCCACAATAACATTTTCATTTCCTTGAGAAGCAAAAAAAATGATGTAGAAATATTCACACAAAAAAAGTTTACATTTTCAAAAAAGAAAAATTAAAATTGCGAAACAGGAGCTTAGAAAGCTGTTCAAAAACAACCCCCACGTCCAGTTTGACAGCCGGGGGGGGGGGGGTGATGATTCGGCTTCTCTCCGGGACCTCCGCAGCCCCGCGGCCTGACAGCTCCCCTCCGCCCCGCCCCGCCCCGCCCCGCCCGGCGGCCCGTCCTCCCGGAAACCACCCCAGGCGGCAGGTGCGGGTGACAGAGGCGCCGGAGGGGCCGAGGCCAGCGCCGGGGTCCGGGCAGGCTCCCCCCGCCCCCGGGAGGTAAACACAGCCCGCTCGCGGCCCCCGCCGCCCGGCCCCGCTGCCCCGGCCCCGCCGCCCCCGCCGCCCGGCCCCGCCGCCCCCGCCGCCCGGCCCCGCTGCCCCAGCCCCGCCGCCCGGCCCCGCTGCCCCGGCCCCGCTGCCCCGGCCCCGCCGCCCCCGCCGCCCGGCCCCGCTGCTCCGGCCCCGCCGCCCCCGCCGCCCGGCCCCGCCGCCCCCGCCGCCCGGCCCGGGCCACGTACCCTCGGAGGTGAGGCGGGTGAAAGGTCTCAGCAGCTCGGCGAAGCTCAGGTGGTTGCGGCGGGCGAGGCGCTCGGCGTCGTCGCTGCAGAGCGCGGCCACGCAGGGCACGAAGGAGTCCGGGATGAGCTCGTGCACCGACTGCACGCACTGGGCCATCGCCCCGCCCGGCGCCGCGGCCCCGCCGCCGCCCGCCTCCCCCGGCCGGGCCCGCAGGGAAGCCCGGACGCCGAGCCCCGCACCGCCCCGCCGCCGCCGCCCCGCCCGTCACCGCCGCCCCTCCGCGCTCGCCGCGGCGCCTCACGTCCCACCCATGAGGCGGACGCGCGACCGGCCCCGGGGACTCCTTCCGACCGCCGAGCCTCGGTCACTGCCCGGCCCGGGCCGCCATGTTGAGGCCGAACCCTGACCCACCGGCAGAACGAGTCCCGACGGCCCCCGCGCTCGCCCCTCACGTGACGGCGTGAAAGGAGGCAAGCGGGGCGGGAACAGGGCGGAGGAGCCGGAAGTGGGGAGCGGCGGAAGCCGATTGGACGCCGGCACCGGAAGTCGTGTGGCGTCTGGAACCCGCCCCGCTGGGCGGGTCTGGGGGCGGGGCTACGGGCGTGTGGGCGGGGCCGGGCCGGACTCCGAGCTCCACCAGCTGTCCCCGCGGGGTGTCCCCGGAGCCTGGCGCGGGGCGGGGACCCCCGGGCGGGCCCGCGCTGCGATCGGCGCCGTCCGAGGGGCACAGGCGCCCTCGCCCCCCGCCCCGGCCTCGGTGGGGCCCCAGAGGCTCTCCGGGAAGCTCGGTAAACGGCGCCCTGCGTGCCCGCTCCGCCCCCGGTCCCCGAGCAGCGGCCGGGCACCTGCTCCCTGGCCAGGGTGCCGCCCTCCCTCCCTCCCTGCCTGCCCCCCGCACCCCCACACTCACACCAGCGGGGGCGTGGGGGGTCCTCTGTTTGGACACAGACTGCCTTTTGTTTTTTTTGTTTTTTTTAATTTACTTTATTGGTTTTTTACAGAGAGGGAGGGAGAGGGAAAGAGAGAAACACCAACGAGAGAGAAACAGCCATCAGCTGCCTCCTGCACACCCCCCACTGGGGATGTGCCCGCAACCCAGGTCCATGCCCTTGACCGGAATCGAACCTGGGACCTTTCAGTCTGCAGGCTGATGCTCTGTCCACTGAGCCACACCGGTTAGGGACAGACTGCCGTGTAGAAACACGCTGCCACGAGTGTGAGCTCCACCCGAGGACGGAAACGTGCCCCCGCGTGCCCCGCCATGAACGGGCGTGGCGGGCCCCCTCCCCCGGCGCCCCCGCTGCGGGTACCAGGGAGAGGGTGCGCCTGCCCAGGTCCGAGTCGGTGGTCTGCAGCTGCCTCGTCCCCCACTGCTCCGTCCGGGGTTCACTTCCGAGCGATGGGGTGCAGGAAGCCAGTCCTGATGGAGTGGTGGGGTCCTATCCCTAAGCTTTCCTTGGTGTAGATTGTGCCTCAAGTAGTCAGAAGGGTATTTTTCCTTCCTTACATGATGTTCTTCTACTATCCCCCCTTTTCTTAATTTAAATATCAGGAGGCTTTTGGAAATTTTATAATGTAACCTTGATAGCTTTTAAATTTTAAATTTTTTTGCACTAAGATATGAGTGCTTTAGGTTCATTACATGTTGCACGATTTTACCATGAGATGAGCTACTAATAAAAATGTTTAGTTAACACTCTAGGGAGCGAGGTGAATTTGCCATCGCGTTCCTCAGTTGTTTGAATGGCTTCCAAATTGCATGTCCAGAGTATAAAGGCGAGGGAAAATGCAATGTGCTATCACGGTTTATGGTGCCTCGATATAAAGGAGGTTTCCCCACCCTCTGTCATCCGAATTGTCGGGCTGTTTGGCACCGTGAGGTGTGTGCTGTGGTAGGAACTTACAACAGGTGAGATGCAGGACTTCCTTCTGTAAACAGGAATGGGAGGTCGGAAAGGACTGTAGGGCATAATGACGTGGCAGCTCTGGCCACAGGTCAACTATGGAAAGGTTAATACCTGCACGTTGAGGATATGGAAATTGATTTTTTTTATAAATATATTTTATTGATTTTTTTTACAGGGAGAAAGAGAGAGGGAGAGTTAGAAATATCAATGAGAGAGAATCATCCATCAGCTGCCTCTTGCACACACCACCACTGGGAATGTGCCCGCAACCAAGGTACATGCCCTTGACCAGAATTGAACCTGGGACCTTTCAGTCCACGGGCCTATGTACTATCCACTGAACCAAACCGGTTTCGGCAAAATTTATTTTCTTGAAACTATCCGTGCTAGATCACCTCTTGGAAATTTTTCTCATGTCCCCAGGGTTACATGTGTTCCCTTTTGAATACCTCTGATGTCATTCCCTTGCATTTTATAATGTAAGAATCTCATACAATTGAATATGATGAGTTGAAAGGCATATATTTTTGGAAACAGAGTTCCTAAATGCAAGTATACTATTTTATCTGGTACTCAATTCAAAAATTAAAAAGGCAATTCATTTTTTGCACAAAACATAAAACAAGCTGTACTACACTCTTTAAGAAGGATTTTCAAGGGCAACTTAGCTTACATTTATTTTCTGGAAATATAATTCACATGTCATAAAATTCACCCCTTCTTAGTATGCAATCCAGTGGTTTCTAGTACAGTCAGAAAGTTGTACAACCATGACTACTGTCTGATTCCGGAACATGTTCATCACCACCAGAGAAACCTGATGCCATGACCCTTCACCCCACGCAGCTTCTAGCCCCTGACAATCACCAACCTCCTGTCTGTAGATTTACTTCTTCTGTGCATTTCCTATAAGGAGAGTCATACAATCTGTGAGTTTGTGTTTGAACCTTATCGTGTTCAAGGTTCCACCATGTTGCAATATGAATCAGTACTTCACTCCTTTCTCAGGGCTGAGCTTACATGGTCTTCCGCTTTGACTCTACAGCTCCCAGCACATTCACACGCAGGGTTTCCGGTGAGTGATTCACTGTCAAAATCTATTTCCCAGTTAATCTAAGGTGTCCGTTTCCTCAGGTCCTTATTGCTCTCTTGAAAGGTTAAAGAGGAATCCCTGGCACATTAGGAAACGAACTGATGGTGTAACCTCAAATGGGAGAAATGGCATTCAACAATTTCACATCCCATTGGCTCCAGGGAGTGTGTTGGTCACACCTATCTCCAAAGGAGACTTGGAAAACATAGGTTCAGAGGTTCTGTTGCTAATGAAGAGGAGGAAAAGGAATATGGGATAACGGTCAGGGGACCCCAGCACACTGTATTCAGGAGGTACCCTACGGAAGGTACTACTTGCGTGGGCCCAGAGATATCACACTGCTCTCGTTTCTCTGACTCCTCCACACACTGGCTCTTTCCGCAGCACATGTCCTCTGAACCATTCCGTGTCCAGGAAAAACTAGGTGCTGTGATTGGCCAGGCCTTGGCCATGTGCACACCCTCAAGGCCAAGAGGACAGATTCTATCGCTAAAAGAAAGGAAGCTTGAAAAAAATAAAATAAAGGAAGCTTGCTCTACTAAATAAGACAAGAAATTAAGGATCTGTTTTCCAAGTACTGAAGGTGAGGCTCAGCTTTCTTCACCAAAATCAAAGAATCCTATAGAGTGTTCATGGGTTTATATGCTGTGTTACCAGATGTTCATGATTTATGTTGTACATATAATAGGACTGTTGGCTGGTGTGGTCGGTTTTAAAAAACACACACGTTGAAAACAGAAGCATCTGGATTTAAAAGCAGTTCTACCACTTGTTGCGGGAAACCAATCATTGTCTCACTAATTAGAAAGATGTGGAAGGCTGGTCAACCTTGAAGCTCCGAAAGATCAGAGCCAACCACTCCCCTAACTAATTAAGACAATGGTAACTGAGGCAACTTCCCCACCAAATAATCATTTAAGTCCTTGCTGATAAGATAATCTGCCCTTTACTGGAATTACCTGCCTAAGGGCTATGGGTGTACCCCAAACCTGAATAACAGGGATGGCAAGGCCAAAGTAAGGCGAGTCCTCCCACCAGAGTTGGGCTCCCGCCTGGCCCCCAATATTCCCAAATTAATACTTTTCTAGTCTCTTTCCATTTGTGTGAGGCTTTCTCCAAAACCGGAACCCTGAACCGGAACCCTGAACCACGTGGGACATGGAAGGGGCTCCCACAATTTGTGAATAAGAATAATGTCACCATTACTGACCTCCGTCTATCAGGCATGGTCCTTTACATAAGTGCTGCTTCTCTCACAAACCCCGATAAGGACGCGTCACCAACTTCCAGACACAGAAATGGAAGCACAAAACCATTAGTTAACCTGCGGAAAGGCAGTCTGCACGGGAGCCGTAAACAGCCAGCCTGGTTTTCTTTTTTTTTTCTTTTTTTTTTAAAAAAGGAGAATTGAGGCTCCTATTTTTTTTTTTTTAATATATTTTATTGATTTTTCACAGAGAGGAAGAGAGAGGGCTAGAGAGTTAGAAACATCAATGAGAGAGAATCATCAATCAGCTGCCTCTTGCACAACCCCTACTGGGGATGCGCCGGCAACCAAGGTACATGCCCTTGACCGGAATCGAACCCGGGACCTTTCAGTCCCCAGGCCAATGCTCTATCCACTGAGCCAAACCGGTCCCGGCTGGTTTTCAACCCTGGGGACTCCATCAGCAGGATAAATTGCTTTTCCATGTTTCCTTGCTTTGAAAGCACCGACGGAAGTTTTAGTTTGCAACAATATGTGTGATCTGTGACTTTCAACAAGGTACTTATCTTTTCTGAGTCTCGCTTTCTTTATCTGTGAGCTTAGAAGTTTGGGGTTAGAATATTTCTTGTGTTTGGTTCAGTGTGAAGATCTGACGCTATTAACATTCTTTCCACTATCATTAAATTTCACTACGTTAACAGTAGATGGTGCTATTGAGTACTGGCTTTAAAACCCAATTAAAAACAATTCTCATTACTGAATACATAGTCCTCAAAGGAGACACCTCCTCAGAGCATGGGAGGTCAGGGGACGCTCAGAAAAGTTGCATGTTCAAGGTTGTTAAGCTGAAAAATGTTTCATTATGCTCCTTCAAAACACTAAAACACGAAAGGTTTAAATATGTCATCTGCATATTGGCCCTTATTTTATTTACTGTACTAGATGTTTTAAGACAACTTATTAACATTACTATTCTGGTTACAAAAGATGGCATCTATTTCTCAATTATATTAAGAATGAATCATAACCATGATTTTGCATTCTAAAGCTCATGATTCTATTTTATACTTATAGGTATTTATCCTCCAAATATAGCTTCCTCTAATTTAATCTACAGCAAGTAAAAACATATATTTTCACTCTTATACTTCTAAAATGGGGGGAGGGTGCATGGAAATATTGAACATCTCAACCGCAAACAATGTTATAAATGCTTTATTTGTCAAGATTTAATCTAAAAATAAA